TCTGTTTTCAAAGTGTTTTAGTCTTCATTCAGGAAAATCAATCAACGAGTCTGAAGAACTTTTTATGTGCCCTCCATGATTTGGTGTTATAAGTTCTTCACAAAATAAGTGTTTAAAGGTTCAAAATATGTTCATAGAAAAAAGGGACATAAAACAGGTTTTTAAAGGGATGGGATTTAGTGAGATTTGGGTTAAAGAGAAAGTCTGGGGTGCAACAGATGATCTCAGGGAGGGAGAGAGACAAGGGTCTAATACACCTTTCTAATGTACACCCCCGTGATCTACGAGGCCACCTTCTAGAAGCCCTGCCACTGTGTAGTAGCCCATTAAATTATGAATCCATGAATGGATTGATCCACTAATGAGGTTAGAACACTTATGACCCAGTCACATCTGTAGCCACTCCTCTAAATACTGCTCTAGTGGGTGCCAACCCTTCAACACATGAGTTTTGAGGAGATATTTCAAATAAAAACCACAATAGAAATATTTGACTTGATTTTCATAAGAAATTTGGGGTTAAATCAGAAGGCAATGCAGTCACTGTGAAGGTTCATGTTCTTGTTCTGTAGTTTATTGTCATGGGGTTCATTTAATGGAAGTCCAAGTACATGATAACATTCAATAAAAATGGTCAAAACAGTTTGTGTGAAGCAGAGCAAAGTCATCCTGTTTTTTAGCCAGCATCACACAATAACAATAAGTGGACAATTAATGTTATTCCTTTAATGATCTGGACAACTGCCAATCTGTCTCAAATAACCCATTCTTCCTCCAATTTCTGGTGTGTTTACATTCCTTGCATTATATAGAGTAACTGGTACTTACTTGGATCTCAATATCATAAGTAATTTTTTTCTGTATTTCCTATTTACAGACTCAGAAAATGTCATAGAATCACACTAATCTAGTAGTAAACTAAAACTGTGAAGTCTGTGGACATTGTCTTCCTTCCTAGATTTTGATTAATCAGGAATATTTGGACGAGTTTTAACAATACGGTGGTGGAAATGTTCAAGGGATACTAGGAATGAAATATTTCATTGTGAATTTTTTACATTTCTCTGAAAATAAATTCACACACTCTTGCTATTTAGTTTACCAGCCTACAAAATGCCCTTGAAGTTTCTCAGACAAATGTTCTAGGATGAGCCATGCAACTAATGTCAACTTTCTATATTACTTCAGAATTTATTGATGAAATGCAATATTCTGTAATTTAGAGATCTTATATATTCCAAGAGTAAGAAAAGAAATACTGTCAGTATGAATGCATTTACACCTGAGGATGTGATGAAGAAGACATGTCAAGAGACCTTTAATAGGTTCGTGGAATAGCCAAAAACTTATTTTTAGGGAATCTTAAAGAGCAAGATAGAATAACACTTGTATATAATTAAACATTTGTATATCAGATATTTAAAATTTATGTATTCATTTGTTTATTTTATGATACAAAGTGTTGATCCCAGGGACTTTACATTGAGCTACACCCCCAATACTTTTAATTCTTGTTTTTTCTTTTGTGACGATTTCATTAAGTGTTCTAGGTTGGACTGAAATTTACAGTTCTCTTGCTTCAGCCTCCCAAAGTGCTGGCATTATAGTCCATATGCCACCAGGTACAGCTTGATTTTAAATTTTTGATCATCTTTGTGATGCATTTGTGATTGGTTCATTGTCTTGAATTGATGGTGTGAGTGCTACACTGGCCTAGGGGTGGAGCCAGGATGTAATGTAATGGCAGGAAGAAGGTCTCTCTCTCTCTCTCTCTCTTTCTTTTGTCTGTTTCTTCCTTGCTGTTTGCAGCCACCATGAACTGCGGCCCCGCCATGCCACCCCGCCTTGGAGTCAACTGAGCATGGACTAAAACCTCCAAAAACTGTAAGAAACAAACCTTTCCTTTCCCAACTTTGGCCTTAGTTTAGGTATTTTGTCTCAGCAGTGAGTAAAAAGTAACTAAGACAAGCATGTATTCATCGTATATTTTAACACAGTACTTAAAAATTTAAGAAAAATAGATGAAATGTCACAATACTTGATGAAATTTCCAAACAAACAGTTGGGAAAAATAATAAGTGTGGTCTAATGGGAAAGTGTTATTATGATACATTGAAAGTAAATATGAGGTAAATGTATGTAGGATGTCCTTAAAAGTCTAGCAAGAAATTTCATGGAGGGAAGTGGAGCACACAGACACATAATTCAGTAGAGTCTTGAAGTGCAGAGCTTTAGGCTGGGCATATAGCTGAGTGGCAGAGCACTTGCCTGCGATATGCAAATTCCTGGATCTGATTCCTAGAACTTCAAGGTAAACAAACAACATAGCAGACACTGGAGAATAAAAATAAACTTAAAAATACAAATTATATTAAGTTCTAGAGGTATGTTTGTAGTGCTTCTTATTAGAAAGCATGCTTATCTTCTCTTAGCACATGACATAGTGCAGCTCCCTGTGCCACTGTCCTGGGGCTGTCACAGTGAAAAAAAACACAGACCAGGAGGCTTAAGCAGGAGACATTTCTCCTCTCACAGTTCTGGAGGACAGAAGCCCAAGATCAAGGTGCCAAGGTGCTTTCCTCTGAGGCCTCGCTTCCCAGGTCACCTTCTCCTTCTAAGCTCACTTAGCCTTTCTGTGTGAGGGAGGAGAGTGCAGTCTGATTTCTCCTCTGTTCATGGAGATACCATTACTACAGGACAACACTTATGACCTCATTGGACTTCTACCTCCTCCTCCCAACCCATCTCCAGATTCAGTCTCCATGCAGCACAGGAAGTTGGAGGAGGAGGACACAATTCAGTCCGTAGCACTCATCACTGTTACCCCTGAGAAGAGCCAACCCACACCTTTAGTTAAGACTCTCAGAAACTAATAGGAGTTTGCTGCTATCTTACATATTCATACATATATATTTTTAGTTTCATAAAATCTCCAAACCAGCTATCATTATGTACCATTCTGCATTTGTCACCCTAAATACATTCATAAGTAAGGTTGAAGTATTCTTTTGGAGATTCAAATAGCCTTCGACTGGAGCAGTGAGTGGTCAGGCGGTGGAGGAGAGGTTTAACGAAGACATCCAGCTAGCTAGGTGTGGGAGTCAGCAGCAGGGTGAGAGTGATGAACCCCTGCTCACACTTGTGTCTTCAGGAGATCAACAGATTTGGCTTTTACCAGAGATGAAAGGGAGAGAGGGGAAGAGGATGTAAACAGGATTAAGATGCGTTATATACATGTACCATGTCTCCATGATGAATACACTCAAACATGTACTAATAAAAAATGGAACTGAAAGAATAAAGGTTTATATTTTTGTTGTTGTTATTCGGGGCCTTTTAGTGGGAAAACATAGTTTCATAGAAAGCAGCTCAGCTGGAAGCATACGGGAAACAAATTCTACTCCAGCCTAGTCCTGCAAAATACTTAGAGGAAAACTTCAGAGAGAGAAAAGCATTATCCCAAGTGCCCTTAGTTTCCTGTTAGATAAGCGAAGTAACAGAGTGCTGTAAGACCCTGTTCTACATCCAGCTCTCTGGTTTCTGGGACTTGAAGGCTGACTTCCACACAATGTATATGGTGCTCCTTTTGGGACCTTGGCTATAGTCTCTGTGCACATCCTCCTTCCCCTCTCGGACATAGGTGGCTCTGTGATGCCAAGTTTTAGTCCAAACATTATTAAATTTTGAAGTACAACCAGGTAGCCACTATAATCTAAGAAGCACTGTAGAGGAAAAATGTTGTATAAAAGTCAAATTAATTGCCTTATTTTTACTGTGCCGTTATGTAGTTAGCTCATTTATTTAGAAATAGTTTAGTTTTAATTACCCCAATGCAGTTTCTGTACTGCTCACGTTAAAAAGGACAGACTAAATTTAAATTCTTTGTGGTCAGGATAGCATGTTTTCTTTACAAGCTTGGAGTTTTCTCAAAACGTGTGCATTACATATCCTGCAGTCACAACAGAATCAGCAGGTAGAATCACTTCCTGTCACTATATAGCTGTCCCATTCATGCTTCAGGGACAGCTTATAAGGTGTATATGTAGCATTCCAGATATAGCTGAGGCAGTCATAGCTTGGGAATCAAATTGTCTGCTCAAGCTACTGGACTTCTCTGGAGCAATTTTGCAGAACAAGTCCTGGGCTGATGAACAGCCAGACGTCAGCCCGTCTACTTTCCCTGCATTGTCAGCTGTCCAAACGCTCTGCTGTGTAAACCCCACAACCTTTGTCTTTAAAACCCCGAAGTTTCCAGTAGCTTCTCAAGGACAAGTGTTGAACCTCTTTGCCTGACCATGCTGATTAAGACTCCTTTCCTGCCCACTGAAACTGCTCATTCCCTTAACTGACATTGGAGGATGGGGTGAACAAGCCTGGCCCACAGGGTCTCCCAGAGCTGAGACTTTCACCCTTAAACTCTAGCAGTAGTAATGGTGATTTCCCAGCCTCACAATCACTGAGGACAGAATTTTCCAGAGAAGTGTTAAAATATAAATTTCTAGGCTTATCCCAGAATATAGAATAAGAAGTTGCAGATGAGTCTGGAAATCTGTATATTTGCATATTTATAATTTTCTAGATGATTTTGAAGACCAACTAGATTTGCATTCTACTGTTTTAGAATATATACCACCAGGGGCAATTTGTAGTTGAAAATAAAATTCGAATTGATATTGTAAAATCAAGTTTATTTCTATATAAAGTGAAGAACACTTAGAAATTGAAATTTTAAAAAGGATAATTTACAATAGGACTGAAAACAAAAGACATACTTAGGTATAAAGCTAATCATATGTGCAAGATATTTATACAAAATCTTATAAAATATTGATGAAAGAAATCAAAGAAGACCTAACTAAATGGAAATATATACAATATCCATGGACTAGAATATTTAGTATTATTAAGATGTCAATTCTTCCAAAATGATCTATATAGTTTCAGCTCCATCCCAGTGAAAACAATATGTAGCAATTTTTTTTTTTGCAGAAATTGGAAAGATGTTTTTAAAACATACTTGAAAAGACAAAGGAACTCAGTCTAAATGATCTTTTAAAAAGCAAAGAAAACTTACAGGATTCACACAAACTGGAAAACTAGAAGCAGAAAACATCGGCCACTTTCCAGGAGCTGCTGGAGCACAAGGGTTAAATACAGGAAGATGTGGATAATATATGATTTGTCTCTTGCAGTAATGGGACTACCTGTTACTTACTCTGTGTTTCTCAACATGCATCCAATTGTATATGGAAAAGTGAATCTTACTAAATTATGTCTTTCAGTAAACCTGTCTAAAAAAGAAAATCGCAGATAAAACAGAATTGCAGTTAAATGTGTCAATGGATGTATGTTTTATTTTTAGTTAGATCACTTTTAACAACCAAACTGTCTTTCTCTTTCTCTCTCAGAATGACTAAGGAATAGGCTGCCTGCTTTCCTTGCCATGGAAATTCTGAGAACAGTACGTAATATACCACTCTGTTTGGTGGTCTGATGGGCTTTATGCATCGTCCATTATTTATGACAATGGCTTGGGATGTAATACAGTGGTCACCTTCCAGCCCAAAGAGATATTTACAGGCTGGGATCTATGAGAGAGAGGAAGCTCTGCATTGTGTTTTTGTTACATATCAAATAATTTGTGGTATGTAATAAACATTAGACCAATCAGCAAATAATATTTGAAGAAATCTCAATTTTAGTAAAGTCAATGATATAATTAGAATGTTAGGTTACATTCCAATGATGTCACTTGAAAGGGCTATTAGAAGTTAGCCAACCTGTGCATGCATTTGTGCCGGGATCTTCACAAAGAATGGAGGAATTTCGGTGATCTTGGGGTATCTGTCTGCTGCCTGTGATGAGGTGTAATGATAGAAAAAATTATTTACTGATCTCCAGAATACTTCAACATTTTCTGATTTGGAAGTATGCAATCAATACATCAAAGGGTTGATGAATGCTAACTGAATTATAAAAAATTATGCCGGGTGTATTTAATTTTCAGAATTGGCCACTTCTGTTTTGGACCCCCGAAAGGTTAAATGCTTCACCTACAGCTCATAAATGGCAGGAATCATATTTAAGCTCTGATCCTGAGACTCCGGGGCTGGTGCACATTATATTGCTTTACTTTTTCTTCTCCTAAGTTCACAAACGTATAAGCCATGCGGTGTGGTAAATCATGCCAAGAGATGCCAGCAGTATTTCTTCTCTTAGGCTCCAGTGCTGGGAAGTTGAATACAACAATTTTTAAATTAATTCTTACTTGGCACTCCATTATCATTAGATTGATTTAACTCAGCTACATTTTTAATATTTCAAAGTTAGAAGATATATGGCCCACAATTTCATTTTCTTTTATGACTTTTTAAAATACTGTGGAAATGAGGAAGGAAAATACTTGGTGACATTCTTCACCAGAACATAACATTGCTTTCCCGTTGCCTTCCATGGCACCAGCCTCCTGAATCTTTCCTGCTCCTTCTGGACTCCTCAGGGGATCAGTTTCCCTCGGCTGCTGCGTTAGGTGCTGGTGTCTGAGTGCTGTACCTGGGCCTCCTTCCTTCCTTGTGGACGTGAAAGGATCATGTCCTGGCTGATTTCACCCAGTTTCCACTGCTGTGTGGACTGGTGACTCCATGGCATTTGAACCTACAGGACCCTGGACCTCATTCTTCTTCATTTTTTCCCCCTTTGGAATGGAAATCGAACTCAGGACCTCACGCTTGCCAAGCAGGCGCTGGGCCGCTGAGCTACATCCCTGGTCCCCCATTCTTCTTACTGAACGAGTTCTGTCTGGATGACCTAGAGAAAACGTGACCCATCATGTCCCAAGTTAGCCTCACTGCCTTCCTATACCCTGCGTTCTGCCCCTCCCAGCTGTTGTCTCTCTCCCCCAGTGTGTCCAGTGGCACTGGGGTATCGCCCCCAACCCTCTCTCTCTCCTCCTTCGTCCAGTCTTACTGTGCTCCCTCTCCTGAAGACTTTCAAAGAGGAGATGCCGTCTCCCCCCATTCCAGCCCTCAGCAAGTCTAATCTGCTCTATCCTGATATATCTTCTCACTCTGACTTTTAGCAGTGTCCCCTCTCATCCCGAAAGCACACTGCTGAAATCCAGACACTGACTTCTTACTCTCGGAAGCCCAGACCCAAACTCCAAGGCCCCCCTTCTATCTTTAGCCCCCAACATTGAAATGCGAGTTTCAGGCACCCTGAGCTACCTGTGGCTACCTGAACCCTTTTTGTTCTTAATCTTTGGCAATTTTATGTTACTTTTGCTAACTCTGTCCAGTCTCTCAGGGCTGGCTTGTTAGGTCTTCACCTTCAACACCCTCATCACTATGGACTTTTATATCTTTTAATACTTAAAATGAATTTATTTCCACTCTTTTCCCTCTCAAGTTTTCAAAATAGGCAACTAGATGTTGTAAAATGAGAGTATCTAACTTTTGTTTTGAAATCTAAATGGATAAATACTGCCTTTTCCTTTCTTGGATTTTATTTTTCTGTTATGGTCCAGATGTATAGGAAGTGCGGAACTTCAAAATGTTATTATTGCTTTAGTTCTGTTCATATTTGCAAGGTTTTCAGTGTTACGCATAACTCACAGGACTTTAGGGGCAAACTTGGGGCTGTGGGTTTACAGCATTCCTTGCTATGGCGATAGGTTTCTTTATCCTCTCTCCTTTCTGTTTTTTTTTAAAAACAACTTTATTGAAATAAAATTTACATATGACTTACTTTACAAACTTAAAATGTAGGACTTAAGGAATTTTAGCACAATGATTTACTTTTACAACTATAACCACAGCAAACTTAGGTCATTTTTGTTATTACAAATCAAAACACTGCACTTCCTTGCTATCATCTCCTAATCTTTTCCTCTGAAATTAGGTAACCACTGAGATATTCTTTATCACCATAGATGTTCTTATTCTGAGAATTTTAGTTGTTTTTAGAAAAACAATTAATAGAATTCTTAAAGGTGAAATTTGAGATTTAGAGAATTGAGCTAATAGAGTTCCATACATGCACCCACAGTGACCCCATGCATTATCATCAGTGTGGTAATTTGTTGTGGTAACTATGCCAATGTCAACGTAGAAATGTTAACTTTACGCATAGTTTACACTAAGGTTCCCTTTTGGAGTTACATGGTTATGGGTTTTGACAACGCATCATACCGTGTATCTGAATAGAATCACTAGGAACAGTCTCACCTGTGCTTTACCTGTTCCTCCTGCCCTCTCTTTCCCTTCTCTCATACTCCATGGCAATTTCTGATCTTTTGAATGTCAGGGTAGTGCTGCCCCAACGTGGCATTTTGAGCAAAAGAAATTTTTATCACCTTTTGAGAAAGACCTCTTCCTGTTGTCTTAAGATGAATAATGTCTTCATGAAACTTGAGTTATTTAGCCCAGTTAGGAAACAGTCATAGAATGAGTATTTTGGTTAGTAAAAGGCTTCTTCTTCTTTTTTTTAGGGGGGAGCAAAGGGTTCCCAGTTTGCATTTCCTACTCCTGTGAGCCCATAGTAAATAAATCTCAGGTCAAGTAAAACTACATGAGAAAGAAAGACCCTTAGGATATAAATACCGGTGCTTATGCATCTAGAAATGCACGCAAGGGAAATGATTTCTCTTGTTTATAGGCACAAGGGTAGACATCAGGGTAAAAGGTTACTCATTTCCTACATAAGATATCTGCTATACAATTTAGGTGACTGACGTGGTTAACATGATCATTCTCTGTACTTTTTCAGAGTTTCTAATTGAAGACCCCAGCATGGCTCATTTCCAGACAGATGCCACAATTGATTTCTTAACACCACTCTGATTTGACACCATTCTGATTTGATACCAAAGAATGGGATGCACACATTACTAAGCTGTGGAGCTTAATAAAACAGGTAAAATCTCAGTGCACAGCTGTGCCACAATTCATACACAAGAAACTGTCATTGTAGTCATTTAATGCAGAAGGACCGGGTGGCCACAGGAGATATAATAAAGTTTAAAGAGAAATTTCATTGAAATAGTTGAAAGTGAGCTATTTTGGTCAAGTTCTACTTTGCCAGGAAACAAAAAGAGGTGTTTTATCTTGTATTCTTGTGTTAGGAGCAGGGCAGATAACATCACCAGTGCAAGGGAAGGGTGTGGCCAGACAAAAGCTCTAAAAAGATTCATATTTTACAGTGCTTCTGGTTTTTAAGCCTCTTTCTATTTTGGTATAAGTTGTCCTTATCAGAATATTAGCATGTTATTAATATAGCAGTGTTTTAAGATATTATCTATTCTCAAGAGCGATAGGTTATAGAATGGTCAAAACTAAAACTGTAGGAAAAATACAACGCTTTTCCTCTCCAGTTTGCTGCACTGCAATGCTTGAAAGCCTTTCCTGTTTGTGACTGCAAGTACGATTTGCAATTCCAAAACTACTTTAGCCTCAGCAGAGACGGAGCTTGTATATGCATCTGCTATAAGTAAGGCTGATTCTCATTAGGTAGAAAATAAAGTATATGATTCATAATAAGAGATTGCTGCCTTTGAAATAACTTCCTACCATAATACTGGCCACCTCATTACAGTGGTAATTAGAAAGAAAAAAACCCAGGAAAGGCCATTTGAGGGGAAATTAGTGCTTAATTTCCAAGACTGTTTTCTTTTAATGGATGCAACTCTGGCAAGATTTTATACTTAAATTGCAAACCTAAGAACGATAAGGATAGTTGTTTAGATCTGTCTTGTAAATGGGAAACACTTAATGCAGCCTGTGATGAAAAAGTGTCTAATGACTGAACACATCCTTTAAAGTCAAACATACTATCTCTGCTGGAGAGTTTAAAACAACAACTTGTAGGTGAAGGTAGGCCTGTGTGAGTGAGGTTTCACACAGTTAATCAGTTGTTGCTGTCATTAACCAAAAAATAGCTCTTTCGATGTGCACCTTGAGCCCGCTGAAGATATTTGCTGGAATTCAATATAAAGCACAGTTAAAAAGAAAATCTCATTGTATTAAAAGTATCTGATGCAGTTCAAAAGGAAGGAATTGATCTTCCTACAAGAAGAAAACAAGGCTTTTAAGACATAAGCATAGGCTGATCTAAGGTAGTTCCATGTTTTAGAGTCGGTGAGTTTCCACTAATATTTAGTTTAAATTTATTTTATTTTATTTTATTTGTGATTACCATTTTCTTTTACATTGGTCAGCTTTCCCATTGCTATGAAAAACATACTGAAGACCCTCAGCATGAAGCAGGAGAGGTTTACTTTGGCTCACAGTTTCAGGAGTGGCAGTTCATGGTGAGCTGGCTCTGAGACAGAAACACAGGGAAGGGCGTAGCAGAGGAAGACTGCTCATTTTATGGCTGTGCAAGCCGAGTGCAGGAAAGGAGGGCCTAGAAGGGAGAGTCAGGGACCGGAGAGATCCTGAAGATCACATCTCCGTGACCCATGTAGACACACCCACAGAAGTATGCTTTACTAAATTCTTAAGCCAGTCAAGTTGACAATCAAAACTAACTGCCTATATCTCTCTTAGAAAAGACCTTCCCCGTGGATGTGACACGTGCAGAAAACAGTACCCACTGAAAATATCTGGCTCAACCCTCAGTGTGTAACCACAACACAGGGTGACGGAATGCTGGTGTTCTGGCCTGTGTCTAGATGGCCCCCCAAAGCCGTATGTGGTGATAAGTGGAGCGTTTTATAGGAAAGCTCCACTTATCCTGTGTGATGTTGGGATTAGGGGTGTGCGGATACTTCATTAGTCCACTGATTTGTTTGGCATAGATCTGGGTGTGAAGAGTGGAAAGGCCCAATTTGGGCATGTGTGTTACCTTTCCTACGGGCATGTAGCCTGGAGAGAATGTCAGGGACAGAGAGGGCTGCTGTGCTCGCTTGCTACTTCTGTGCTACTTTCCTGGTTTGCTGCCTTCTGCCCACCATGAACTGTTTCTTCTCTGCCATGTCCCTCTGTCTGTCTGTACCACACGCATTCTCAGCAGCTCTCTTTTCCATTGCTGCTTTCTCCTTTGCCCCTCAAACATGATTGTCTTTCGTAACTTTTTAGTTTTTCTTGATAATTTTACTTTCAAGATAACCATCCATAAACCTTATAGTTCAGCTTTGCTTATTTTTAAAAACAGAATCAGTTTGTGTTCTTTTATATCTCTGCTCTTTCATGGGAATATTTTGTATGTGAAATTTATTCTTGTACTATGAGTAATGATAAATCTTTCTTCTTTATTTCGTTATATGTACATACCACAAGGTTTTACTCTTATTCCTGGTGGCTTTCAATTTTTGCTCTACAAATGATGTTGCTGTGAACATTGTTTTTGTCTTTGCATATACTTGGGTACACATTTCTCTTAAATGCGCAAGTATAATTTCTGGATCATTAGTAAGCATTTGGATTTGGGAGATAATGACAAATAGCTTTCTGAAGTGGCTAACTCAGTTTATCATCTGTGGGCAGTGAAATATGAGACTCTCTCCTTGTCCAGATCATTGTTAACCTTAGTAGGAATCTTCATACTTTTAGCATTCTGATATAGTAGTAGAAGGGTTTTATTTGGGATTTAATTTTCCTCCTGGATGACTAATGAGGTTGAAATATTTTTCTTATGTTGATGATTACTTGGCTTAGCTCTTTTGTAAATTACCTCAAGTGTGTTCCCAAATGTTGTGTTGGGCTATCCTCTGGCTTATTTTCTTTACTTTCTTAGTAACATTTTTTGATGAATATAATTTTTAAAATTTTGTTGTTGGCAGTGATTATATTGCTTTTTTTTTTTTAAACAGTTTCACTCTGTCTTTCAGGCTAGCCTTGAACTCACTGTGTAGCCCAGGCTGGCCTCAAACCATCTGCCTGCCTCAGATTACCAAGTGTGTGCCACCACACCTGGGCCTAGTTTTTTTAATTTAAAAAGCTTATTCTGAATTAATTTACATTTTATAGAAAAATAGAAAATAATACGAAGTGTTTCCATATACTATCCATATACCATCTAGCTTGCTTTAGTGTTACATAACCATTTATAACGCACCAAACACCAGATTCAGAAAATAACAGTGGGATGGTGCTATTAAGTCAACTACATGCTTTATTTTGATTTTATCAGTTTTAAACTGTTGTCCTTTATCTTCTCCAAAGTCCAATCCAGGATACTACGACTCATTTAACTCTTCTGTCTCTTGGTCTCTTCTATTCTCTGGCAATATTTTAGTACTTTTTAAAAAAAATGACATTGACGCTTTTAAATAGTTTTGTTCGGGTATTTTGTAGAAGGAGCCTCAGTTGAGATGTGCCGTCTTCTCATGATTAGACAGATTATTAATTTTTAATGTATTACAGTTTATAAGTCTTCTCCTCTAGGTAACGCTTTTTTGTGTTCACTTTAAAGATCTTCTTCTTTCCAGAAATCCTGTTTTGTCTTTCATACCTCCTAGAAATCATTAAATATGAAAGCCTTCATATTTAATTTACAATTTTAGGTCAAGTTCTATACTTTTTATATCTAACCGATCCAGTATCATTTATTGAAAAAAATGTTTTACCACTGATCGATAATTCCCCTTCGAGGTAAATCAAACACCTCTGTGTGTGGATTTGCTTCTGGGTTCTCTAGGCTATTCCAATAGACCATTTGTCTCTTCTTGCAAGATACCGTATTTTATTATTTACCATGGTTTGTGATTAAGTCTTGATACTGGGTAGGGCACATCCACCCACCACTATACACTTTTCAAGAGATCATTGGCTATTGTACCACTCTGCACTTCCCGTAATTGGAGAAATGACAACTTACAGTTTTTTTATCTGTCAGTCTATGAGCACTAACTCTTTAACATAGATGTTTGTGAATTTTCATCAATAATTTGTAATTTTCTGGTAGATATCTTGTATATCTTTTCTTATAATTGTTTTAAATGATTTCATGATATTTGATAGTATCATGAATCATTTTTAAAATTCAATTTGTCTAGTTTTTGCAGGTTTATAAAATACAATTGATGTGTCTGTGTATGTGTTGATCTTGAGTCTGGAAAACTTACTAAATCCCTTTCAAATTTAATGGTTTATGTGTAGATTATTTCAGACTTTGTGTGGACATAATTATGTCATTTGTGAATAAAGGTTTGGCTTAGAGTTTTCTCTTTTCTTTTCTTCCCCTGGTCTCCTCCTCTCCCTGTCCCTGCTCTTTTCCTTCTTTGCTTCCTTTTTTCTTTCCTTTGTTCCTTCCACATTTTTTTTTGTATACTAGCTAGGCCTACGCTCTGTACACTCCAGTATAATGATGAATAGATATGGTGATAATGCCCATTTATTCCTGAAGTCAGAGCATACTTTCAGCAATTTATCATCAAATATCATATTTGAAGTAGGCTTTTTGTAGGTACTTTGCTATCACAATCAATATTGAATTTTATCACATAGTTCAACACTTTTTATTAAAGCCAGTTTTTAAATTTTATTAATGAAGTGAATAGCATTGATTCTTGAATGTTAAGCCAGCTTGAATTCTTGATGGTATCTCAGCTTGAGGATGCTATGTTTTTAATGTACCACTGAACTTGGTTAGTATTTTATTATAAAATTTGTGTTTATGTTCACAGGGGGACCAAACAATGATTTTTCTATGTTCTGGTCAGGGGTTGTTTGCAAGCTTATACTAGTAGTCTCGTTAGTTTCCTTTCTTACATAAATATTTCATGGGGTTTTCTTTGTGGAAAGGCTTTTAATCACAAACTCATCTGTCTTTTTTAAACAACATTGAAACTGAGATACAGAACTGTAGTTTTTGAGTCTTCCTGTGTCAATTTTGGTAGACTCTATCTTTGTAGAAATTTATTGCTTTCACCTAATTTGGAAAATTATTGGCAAAAAGTACTTCAAAATAATATTTCCTTACTTTTAAAAAATATTCTTGGCACATACAATAAGTCACTTTTTTCATTTAGGGTATTGCTTATTTATATCTTTTTAATTTCTTTACCAGACAGACAAGTTAGAGGTTTAATGGCCCCCTTAAATGAACTTTGTCTATTATAAATTTATTTGCTACTTAATTTCTGCTTTTATTATGTACTATTGTCTCCTTTCTTTGGCCTTCAATTGCTGAATATTTTTTTAACTTAAAATAGAAGCTCAAAACAATAATCACATGCAAAATGAGGTGTGATTTTATATATTTTTTAATTTGATCTTCAAGTTCACTTTGCAAAGAAAATGTACTAATTTCATTTTTCTTGATAAATGAGATAATCTGCTATGGGCTAACCATGCAGCTGGAATTCAAATTAAGCCTCTTTGTATAGAAAGTCTACTTTTAAAAAATATATTGCATTTAAATAGTAGTACGATAAAATTTGAAATACATTTCTATTTTCTTCAAAAATTATCTTTTACAATGGAAGTAAACCTTGGAGTATGGTAAATATTGCATTTTTGTAATATAAAGAATCTGGGATTGACAAAGAAATTTAGTTGTTTCAAGTCCACTTTAGGCTGGTGATTTAGGTCAGACACCTGCTTGGTGACTGCAAAGCTGTGAGTTCAATCCCCGCTACCAAAAATAAAATGAAATAAAATAAAATAAAATAAAATAAAATAAAATAAAATTCACTTTATTGCTGTGTTTAGGAAAAATTTTCAATAATTTCAGAAACAAGGCGGATTGCTTCCTCTCCTTTTGGCTTCCTTGGGCTCGGTCCTCAGCTCTGACCATGCACTGTCCATCCTTGTGCCCCCTCTTGCTCCGTCCATCACTAATGCCCATCTCTGCAGATCTTCGTAAGCTCTCTCTTCACTGCCACGAACTCTGTCTGCTTACATTCTTCCTCGTGCTTATCGGAACTGTCACTGTACCAATGATTCTCAAATCCTGATTCCTGAATCCCTGAACCTACAGCATTTGCACCACCTCCTGAAACTTCGAGAATCTCCCAAGGTGAGACTTAGTCACGTCCAAACTGATGCTTGAGCATCACCACAAACTTACCTTCCCTGCTGAGGTGCGTACCTCAGCATACAGTACTTGCCTAGTTTCCCGAGACCCTAGGTCATTCTAAAAGACTTCCTCCTCCTCAGGTGCCTGATATTAATCATCTCCTAGATTTGTTATTTACATTTCATCCTTTCCAGCCCCAGTGGCTGAGTGCTTACGTTAGCCTTCATAATTTCGTACCGGGATTTGCTTAAGTGCTATCTCTTGGGGAAAAGCTTTCTGCACAGTCCCACTGTATTTCGTACATATTCACATTATAGAATTTACAGTAGCGTTATTCCATGCCTGCTTCCCTCTTCATGAGGCTGCCACGCAATGGAGCAGAAGAGCTATGGTACACACGCGTAAGTAACGATATGTGTGTGTGTACGTGTGTTGTGTGTGTTCTAAAAGCCTTATAAATTGACATAGATTGTTTGGTCAATGGACATCACTTAGAAGAAAGAAAAAATATATTATTTTCCCCAGTGGTTACAGTGGCCTGTAACACATCCTTTTTCATGGAGTGGTTCTGTGAGTTCATGGATTAGAATTGTTCACCTTTCTGCAAAGCTAGTTAATACAGATGGGACTATTACTTTGAGTAATGTGTGTCAATGTCACTTTAATGCAGAAATAGTGCAGAACCGTTTATGATGGCGCTTAGCTGGCCAAGAAGTCTGTATCCAGGTGGTTCTAACAAAGCCTGCTATTACAGCCACTTCATTTGAGCAGTCATGCTGAGCTCGAAAATAACTGACACATCATAATGCGATTGAAGCTGTATGCTTAGAAACATATAATGAGTACTGAATATTATAATTTCAAATCACATACCAGGATAAACAAAGCCATCATAAGGAAATCAGTTCTATGGAAAGGTATTTTTCATCACCCGTTTTTCCAAAGTGGCAAATGAATCCAGTAAAATCAGGATGAATCCAGTAAAATATGCTAACCTTCATCACATTATAACAATAATTCAGAAGTATCTTTTCCTAATTTTGTATTTGCCCTTTACTTATTGTAGTACTGCTTTCAGCCAGCAGGGGGGTCACATAAAACCATTGAAAGCAACTTCTGATCTGGCCCTCATCCCAAATTAAAACAAAAACATTTCCCTTGTGTTTTGATTCCTGCCCCAGCATTATTTAATGCCACCTGGATCTCATGCTGGGAGGACAAAGGTCCTTGGCCTTCCACAGCTCAGCAAGCATCTTCCGTTGCTTCTTTTACTTTGTAGCCCATATTCTTTGTTCTTTCTCTTTGTGATAGTGCTTTTGCCTGGTACTCCATTTCCAAGACTGTTTGTCTTATCTATACTTGGCTTGCTCCCCTGTGGTGTAACCTAGTTCAACAAACTCATATTCTGGTTGGTCCTCTGGTTCTGTCCCTTCCCCCAGTTGCCTGTAAACACCTGTCTATGGCTGAGCTTATGCCTTGCTGTAGGCTACTCCAAGTGATTACCTGCAACTTAGGTGTGTTTTTTTGTTTTGTTTTTGTTTTTTTAACTTTTTATTGGTACCAGGGATCGAACTCACGACTGCCTGCTTGCAAGGCAGGTGCTTATGCCACTGAGCTAAATCCCCAGTCCCAGGTGTGTTTTTCTAATAAGGGACAGCAGGCAGTGACTTTTTCTCACTGCTATATGTGCATCCTCCTAAAGCCTAGTCAGAGAGCCAGTCTTTTGGGTGGGCTAATAGGTACACCAATTGCACTGTCCACAAAAGTTCTTTTAGAGTCTCCTTGGCTAGAAAGGAGCAGAGAAGTCAGGCTGTGTTAAGCTCTTTGGGATGACAAACAGTGGGAGATGGTGCTAATCCTATCCTGCTTGTGTGGTGGTGGAGGAGAGAAGAGGTTCCAGAATGTGGAGTTATCGACTATGTATTAGGATCCACACTCAGTGAAATGGATTCTGGTCCATTCTGCCAATTGCCCTATGAAAACCTTGAGACACACCTTTTGTCTTCACAGGGCCAACTCTGGTTTGCTGATACTTTCCTGTAAATTTCTGCCAGTTCCACTCTCTTGGATCAAATCTTGTTGACAGAAAACATTTCAAACATCTTCTGTGATTTTATGACAGGTGTCCAAACATCCAAACAATCCTCAGATGTTAGAATTTTGCATTGCTTACCATGGATATCACAGACCAACATCATCAGTCAAAATATAGACACTAAAGAAGAGATGATTACTTGTCTTCTATTTTGTAGTTATCTATACAAAAATAGTTTTCAAAATGAGTGCTCAAACAATCCCTCAAGGATTGTATCTTGTTGAGTCAGAAATGAAGCATAGTTACCACCTGAATTCATCTGCTGCTTATTCCTTTCATTGTAACTGGCAGGAAGTAAAAAACTGGGGACCTTGAATGAAACTGTAATAATCAGACTCCAAAGTCTTATAGTAATCATAATTATCCATAGTTACTTGCCTATTGAAATCTTATCAATTGGGTTAAAGCTGGCTGAAATGGCCTCATTATGTTTTAGAAGTTTGGGTGCATCACAGGATTATGAGATTTGATAAAAACACATTTTTTGGTTAAGTTGCAGACGGATGCCCCCAGCGTTCAGACCTACCTTCCGAACACCCTGCAATACAGTTCTCTCAGACAGAGCAGTGAGCCACTGAACTGAACATTTTCTCCATCATCTCACTGCCAAATAGCATTTTAACTGCCTGCCGTGAAATTAAAAGAACAGACCATGACTGGGAGGGAGTTACTAGCTTATCTTACTTTTGAGACGATTTTAAAACAGTAATTTCCAGAGAAAGGAATGACTATGGAATATTTCAGACACCTGCCATGATGAAAGAACTCTTCACTGATGCCAGCTACACTCAGGCCACCTAAGACTTCTGTTCAGTTAAAACAGACCAGAGAACTTCAACACAGCACGGGAAGCTTGAAATGCTAATGGAGGAAAATCAGGTGAAAAATAAAATTTCTGGTATCTTGACTCTAAGCATCTCACGGTTGGTGCCCTCCAACCTTGATACTGTTAAGTGTGGCCCCCTTGCCTGGAGCTTGCTGGTGGTTCTCAGGCCCCACCCCAACCCTACTGATTCAAATCCATTATTTTAAACAAGATCTTTCCAGGGGCAGTAAGTTTCATAAACATATTATAATGATGGGGAAATATTTTGGAAAATGAAGGCTAATAATATGATCACCTATGACTGCAAGGAAATCAACGCACTTTATATATTTTTATATTGTAATTATAGCAAATCTTCTCAAGACCAGGGCCCTTAAGAGGGGGCACTGGATGTTATTTTTCTCTTTTTAAGTTTTTTGCATCCAGAGAAAGTAGCAGATAGATAACAGCAGCTATGGAGGCTCTCTGAGATAGCCAGCTTAGAATCCAGGAACAATGCGGTGTGAGGAGTCCTAAGCAAGGGGAGATATACCCTGCAGACCCTGGAATGAACTAAGCTGAGAGAAACCAACTGGAAATGCAATCCTGATGCTATGAGCAGAATAGATAAAAATCTCAGCACTGAAGCTGGAACCCGTGGCTTGAATTTACTGCTGCCACTGTTGCATCTGAATCGGCACAGCAGGAATAGAGACGTGAAAGCCCTGAGAGCAGGAATTGGCGAATCGAATTGAGAGCGGAACTGGCGGGGAGCCCTGCATCAACCTGCGGTGAGTGAGAAGAACGGGGACCCTTCCATAGGCTAGGAGGCTCCAACAGAGGACATTCTGGGACTGGGCAGACTAGCCGCAACAGGACGCTGCAGTGACTTTAGTCACATATTCCCCTCTCAAGCGGGGTTGGCAGGGAGCACCTGACCTGGGTGAAGCCACTAAGACCCAGTAGGCTAGCCCAAACCAGGTCCCAGTGCCGGGGGTGCACCCTAGCAGTGAAGCGTTTAGTAGGTTGACCTGGGGGGGGGGGCCCAACATATGCTGCCTTGGTCTGTGTCTCCCTAGTACACTGCAGTGGGTGGGAACACCTAGCCGGCAGATTCAAACAAACTGTAACCAGCAAAAAAAGAAACTGGGCCTCCTATATATGCCTGTATGGAAGGAACAAAACATATGAGAAGAGGAGGCAAAAAGAAAGGGTCCTTGGTCCCCAATCCTGAGAACACTGATCCAGGAAAGGGAAATGCAAAGGAAGACAGAAAATGTGCAATATCAGGCACGGCACCAATAGACATAAAGCGATATCTCTGGGACCTCATAGACGAGTTCAAAAATGAAGTATTTAATGAAGTAAAGCAAGATCTAATAAGTAGAATAGTTAGAGAAATGCTAAGGACCACCCAAGAAAAAACAGATGGTGGAATGGAAGAACAAAAAAAAGGGGAGAATTGTTTGATGGAGAAAATAGAGGAAATATAGAATACATGAAGCAGGTTCAAAGAGATTACCAGGAAACTAAAAACTCTATTGAAAGCTGGCATAACAGCTTGAAAGAAACTAAGGATAGATTATCTAAACTGGAGGACAGATTTGTAATGTGGGAGCATGAAATGAAAAACTTCTTAAAAATAACAAGGAAACAAACAGCAATAATATGAAGGCTAGAAGATGATAAGAGGATCTATAACTTAAGAATTAAGAACATAAAAGAAGAAGTAGGGACTCAAACAAATGAACTACAAAAGCTATTCACAGAAATAATCCAGGAGAATTTCCCTAATTTAGCAAAATGTAAAGATACTCAGATATTTGAGGCATACAGGACCCCAGCCACCTACAATCCAAACAGAACTACACCCAGGCATATAATAATCAAAATTCCAGAAATCCAATATAAGAAGAGAATATTAAAATCTGTCAGAGACAAGAAACAGATCACTTACAAGGGAACACCCATCAGAATTACAGCAGACTTCTTGGCACAGATCATCAAATCATGAAAAGTGTGGGGGGAAATAATTCAAGCTTTGAAAGATAATAACCTCCAGCCAAGATTGATATATTCTGCACAACTGTCCCTAGAAATTAATGGAGAAACAAGGTACTTCCAGGATAAAGAGGAATTAGGGGAATTTGCAATCATCAATTCAACTCTACAGAGAATACTGCAGGACATTCTAAAAGAGAAAAATACCAAGATTCCATAAACAGTGGCAGGGAGGCCACAATGAATGGAGCAGAAAGCAAAATGAAGAAGACAAACTGACAACTAATGACAGAAAAAGAGCTCAACAGAAATGAGGCAGAGAAGGTTGGATGGTAGGCACAGCTATTTGGAGAAAACAAGACATCATAATAGCTAGTGCTGATTTAATATCATCTTGTTTTGAAGTCCCATCAAGCTTTTGTTCTTCTGTCTCTATTGGTCTTAACATGTTGTATCTTATTGGATTTTATATGTGATAATATAAACAAGAACTTTTATAGACAAGGAGATTATACAGAAACCATTGTTCATTTTCTGTTAATTGGTTCTAAATACCCTGTAATACTGTCATTCTCTTGAATGGTTTTACATTGTGTTGATATGTTTGATGCTACAGTATACAAAGTTATTGTCAAAGATTTCAAGGAAAGAGATACTATGGTAACTACTTTTATGTTGGAATATCTTATGGTGAAACACTATTTTGCTTAAAGGGTTATGTTCTGACCTGTGCTATTTTGTTGTTATGTCCTCTTTTATCTCAATCTCCTTTTTTATTATTTACTTTTTTATTTTTATCTTTTTAATTAAGGGAAAAAATAAAAAATAGGATATATTATAGTAACCCACTTTGATTTCCTATTAACTTGATTTGAAACCCTGTATTGCTCTCAGCATCCTGTTTTGACTGATTTTCCTCTATTTTGTTTTGCTTGCTAGTACCAAGTTTGAGAGAATAGGCAACAACTGTGAAGACAGTAAGACTCACTATGATGCCCATTCTGGTTTGACTATTATCTTCTTTTGAAGTCCTGTAATGTCTCCAATGTTTTGGTTTTCTTGGTTTTGTTCTTTACTGTTTTGTTCAATTTTATTATAACTGATGATACAGGCAATTCTTTTTAAGATAGCAAGAAGCATTATGGTAACCATTGTTGATCAGCTTGTCTTCTGTTTTTACATTATGTATGATGTCCATCCTTTTGAATTGACTGACTCTGTTTTGTTGATCCGACCCCGGGATCAATCCATGGGTCTCACCTGGAGAGGGATCGGGGATGGGGGCAGGGCAAGAGAAAAGAGAGATAGAGGCTTGGCGAAATTCCGGTCAAACCTCTTTATTTTTAAAAATGACTACAGCTTATATAGGGTGGAGGCGGGCCAAAGGCAGAAAGAAGGCATGAAGTGTTATCTGATAGGTCATCATCACATCTGGTTATATGATGTAAGCAGGAGAGGATTATGGGTAATGTAGGCAGGCATGAGGATCATGGGAAATGTAGGCTGAAGCAGGAAGTTTGCTTATGTCATAGGCATTGTAGGCAAGGGGAGGATCATGGGAAATGTAGGCTGACACAAAATGCCCTCAGGCGGGAGGGGCAGGGCAGCAGCAGCCATTGGAAGCTGCTCCCTACATTTTGTTATGTCAGATTTGGTTTTATTCTCTTCAAAAAGAAGTAATAAGAACTGTGGGAATAATAAAACCCAAAATGTATAATTGTCATTGTAAAAAAAGAAAGGAAAATACAGTGCTCTAAAGGATATAACTGCATGTATATTTAAGTATATAAGATAACCATATTACTGAGTTTTGTTGGATCATTGATCAGAACTGTTTGCAGTCTCACTGTTTGAATGTCCATTTTATATGCTTTAATTTTGTAACTTGAACAACTATTTCTAAGATGACAATATGTAATCTATTAACTAGTGATTCCCTGTTTATTTTTTCTGAAATTCTGTATAACCTGTACCCTTTTATTTTTTTAGTTTTTCTCCTTAAATAAAATTTTAAAAAAGGAGTTTTTTGCATCCTCACAATCTAGTATAAGGCCGGGTTCATAGTTGGTCCGGTAACAAGGGATGAATAAATGACGCTGTATTAAAAAGCAGGCACCTTAGTGTTGCTGCCTTACCCGATAACAAAAGATAAGCCAGTCAGTTCAATGAACAAGTACAATGACATTCAACAGAAACAAATTTAAAATGTAAGTGAAAACAAGAAAAAAAAATTTGCACAAATAACAGGGAAAACTTGTCCTGTGTTTTAACGAGCAAAGACATACATAGCAAAGATTTTGAGTGTGAAGATGGACAACTTGATAGTTCGATAATCTTTTTTTTGTTTTGTTTGGTACCGAATCAAACTAATGACCTCGTGCTAGCCAAGCAGGCACTTGTGCTGCTGAGCTAAACCCTCAGCCCCGACAGTTTAATAAACTCATAGTGAAGAATAAATGTGATTTGGTAATGCCTTGGTGTTTTTTTTTACAATGCTAAGCTGTATTATTGGTCGATTATCCTGTTCATATTTTACTAGGATTCTATACTTTTTGACATGGAAGAACCTACAATGTAAAACAGGTTCAAATTCTAGAATATGAAATGGGTTTGAGATGAAGATCACCTAGAGAAATTAAGAACATTAGGTTACAGCCAGAGAACGCTATCATTTAATAACAACTGCTGACCAGCATGAGGTCTGTGTGGGAATCTGATGCTGGCTTCCCAAAGGTAGGTCGGATGTTACAGGCTAATGAAGGGGACTGTCCCTGCGACTGCCTGCAGACAATAGTGGCCGGGCTCAGCGTTCCCAGGACACTCACGTTTCAGATCACATCCCCTCCTGTCCAGTTCACTAGAACCCCTGGAACTCAAGACAAGGTTTACTTTCTATCACAGTTTTATTGTAAAGGATAGAAGTTGAGAGCAGTCCAGAGGGACCCACAGGGCAAGGTTTGGGAGGGCAGCACACAGCAGGTCACAGGGGCTGGGGCTGTTACCCTTGGGATCGGGATGGACACCCTCCCAGGCTACCCAGTGAGCTTCTGTCGGGGAGTCACTATGAGACCCGTGTGACTGGTTGCAACATTTTCTTTCAGTCGGGAAATACTTAGACTGAGGGACTTTTTTACATTAACTTGGTTACTTCTGGAGTTAAATATTCATAGTGGGGTACAATGGACAGAACATATAAAGTACAACAAAGCTGGGTATGAAAACCAGTTTGTCACTATGTAGTAGTGTGATCTGGAACCAAGAACTGAATCTGGTTCTTCTCCCTTTGTATTTGTGAAAACGCAAGCATCTACTTAAAGCACTACAGAGCACAGACCAGACTGTGAGTTGGCAGAGCTGGCTCTAGAGCCAGAAGCACAATCTGTAAAGTGAGATGGCAACACACTCAGAGATGGCAAGGGTTAAATAGAGCACTGCACACACAGCATTCAGAATAGTGCCCAGTGCCCAACAAACGCTGAGAGATCAATACTTGCAATTATTATTTTTAATTCACTTATTGTAGTTGGTGAGATGAAATAATATTCATAAAAGACTACATTATAAAATCTGGCCTGCAGTCAATGTTGATTTCCTTTATTATAGAGATTTTTCTATTATTTCAGACTTCAGTACAAGTAAGTGAGGTGAAAGTTACCTCCATTTAATGGCAACAGTGTATAAAAGGTAAATTTGGCAAACATTCATTTTAAATTGACTGAAACGGGAAATGGGATGATGAGTTGGTAATAGGGTTATAGATAAAATATTTGAAAAACTGTGGGTAAAGAATGCCTTGTGAATATTGTGTTTTATCAAAGACTTGGAAAAGTTAACTGAAATTTTGTTTTATTTTGGTTTTTTGTTTGTTTGCTTGTGTTTTCTTGAGGAACTCACTATGCAGTTCAGGCCATTCCTGAACTCACCATATAGCCCAGGCTGTTCTCAAACTCATGATCCTCCTGCCTCAGCCTCCCAAATGCTGGGATTAAATGTGTGCACCAGCATGCTTGGCTTTTTTTTTTTTTTTTCCAGTACAAATCCTTACAGTCTTAAAGAGTTTGAGGCAGTGTAATGAAATACAAATTAAGACCTCTTTCATTAGACATATGACAAATTTAAAAAATGAGTATCACAGAACGCAAACAGAAGAAACAAAGCACACTTCCACTGTGACAGGCTCTGCCATGCCCACGCACAGGACAGGGTAAAGGAGTCATTAGAATACAATGGAATTTTAAGAATGACAGCAGATACTCCTATTATCTATCCTTAATAACTCTACTAAAAATACTGGAGTTACTAAGACTTGTTTGACCACTATCATTTAAATTGAAAAGGAAGATTAACAAGGTACTGTTAAACATGGTGGAAGCAATTCCAAAAACCACTAAAAAGGAGTGTTAAAATCTCCACTAGTTTAGACTCAAAGCTATGTATGCAGTTTTGCTCTGCTCTGAATGTTTATGTCCCCCCACTCCCTGGCTCTGGCCCCAGTCCATGTGTTGAAACTCTAACCTCTAAGGTGACAGGAATAGGAGGTGGCCTCTGGGAGATGATCAGGTAAACTCTCACGAATGGGATTAGTGGCCACCACAGGAGACACAGCAAGAAAACACCACCTCTGGAACCAGAAAGCAGCCCTCATCAGAACCCCCATTGGCCAGCACCCTCATCCTGGACTTCCTAGCACTCAGACAGTGAGAAAGGAATCCTGGTTGTCTGTAAAGTATCCAGCTTATGCAATTTATTACAACACCCTGCTTGGACTGAGGTAACATACTGTCTGTAAATCTACTTGTAAAGTTTATCCTATCTCATCTTCAAACTTTCGAATTAAATTTCACTTTTATAAGAAAAAATTCATATTTTATTTGATGATAATTTAAGACATTGATTACTTTCTGTTCAATTGAAAATATTCAAATCATTATTCTTGTGTGAACAGTAGCAAATTATTCTCGTCATGTACACTTACTTGACGCAAGATGGTAGTGACTTTTACTGTCTTCCCTACATTCTACATAAAACTTAAGTTGTGTTTTCTCAGAATACTTTTCTAGTATGAGAAAAAGACATACATTTTATAGCACATATTAAGCTTTACACCAACCTCCACCTCCTTCTATAACAAAATTTTATTAACACATTCCATAAAAATATCACAGGATAATTTTATTTATAATGAATATTATTCACTCTAGACTTAAATCATCAATTTACTCTTATAACAGAGAATCAATTCAAATAACACCAGCAAAATGGAATGTAGACAAAACAATGTGTTATTCCATGTCACTGTCTTTGATGGGCCATAATGATATCCAACTGGTCTTGCAACAGGGCCTCTGCCCAGTGACACTCAGGAAATCCTTCTCACTGACATTTTGCCGTAGCTGTGCTACATGCAGCTTTTGACTGTTAGAAGTCAAAGAGTAAAACAAGTGCTCTGAAGAAAGGCTGGGGCTGCAAAACCTTTTCACACATAATCTATCCAGGAAAGGTAGCTCGCCTTCGGATCCTCGGGCTCGGGACACACTCCTGGAAAGTTACCTAACGGTTTCCCTTCAAGCTGTTTTTTAGACAGGGTAAGTCAGTGCTTATACTGTCTGTGCCAACGTCCTTGTCTTCCTCACTTCCACTGCCTTGTTTACCAGCTCACGCAGCGACGGCAGTCTTATTTTATCCATATTCTTACTGTACACGTTGAGAAATATGCCCAGGACAACTAGCAAGCCAGACCACACATACCTGCAGGAAAGACGGAAGACAGGTTATTAAAATAACAAGGTTAAAAGTATCATGATCAATTCATAGTAATTCTGTTGAAGAATTACTGTTGAAGAATAAAATTTTGCTAGTAAAGGCCTATAATAACATTATTAAAATAAAAATAGTATTCTTTGGTCAGATTACATAGGACAGAATTTTGTGTCTTTTATGTTGAATGTATATAGAAGATGTATTTTCAAAATGACGTTCATTTATACTTTGGGGATCATAGTATACTCAAACTCCAATCTCTACTGAAGACTTAAAACAGTGGGTAAGTAAATCTGCCACAGGCCATCTTGGGATTCAACTCAGTCAGCTAGGATCTCAGGTGGGCAGAACATAAAAGGACAGAAAAGGACGATGAATCCCCCAAGAAGCAGGCCCATCACTGTAATTTAATTACTATACTATATATATATATATATATATATTATAACTCACTCATGTAAAAATTAATTTGTAGACAACCAACAGTCTACAGTATAATGATGAAACTTTTACTGTTACCCTGACCTACAGTTTGCTACGTTTAAGATTGAAACTTCATAATTGTCAACCAACATAAACTTAAATAATGCCAACTTTAAACAACAGACAGTTCTGAAAAGAGTAAACTTTTACAAAAAGTCAAAACCAAAATTAAATCATTAGGACACAGCTTATAGAACACTTCCCTACTGCAAATTCTTTGTGGAAAGAAATAAATCAAATAGTTCGAAAAGCATGTCCTGCAAATATATAATATTATGCACATGAGCAAGGGGGAATTCGTATTTATTCCTATTGGAAACAACATCGCTCTGATTACACAGTTTAAGTATAAAAAAACAGTACATTTAAGACAGAAAATTATAAATATTTCCAATACAGCAGAAGACCTATCAATGATAGATATGAGATCAAGATGAAAAGGATTCTTTAGAGTAAAAAGGAAAAATACACATTAATTTATGTAAAACTCAACACATTGCACAAAAAGTAAACGTTGAGAATAAGACTTTTAAAAGGTAATGTGAAATACACTATCTAAAAATTAAGAAATGAAAAAAAAAGTACTTACTGAAATGTGAAAGGTTTAGCGAAGAATATAAAGGAAAGTACAATGGTCATTGCTTTTCTTCCTGTTGTCACTGTAGGGGCAAAACACTGGTTTAGCATGTGCTTAGTAGTCCCTTATCATGGATTTGCTAACTATGTGCAGCCAAGTATATGACAGAGGACCTGCATGAGGTGCCAGGAACACCACGAAGTACCAACCAACCAATCCACAGCTCTCACTGCGCCCGCTTACAGCTGGCCCTCCCTCATCTGCAGGTCCCCAGAGCCTCCAGTTCCCTGCGCTTAGTTCATAACACAGGAAGGAATGAACACCAAACCAAGAGGCTGCTCTGGAAATGTGTTAGGGCCTGATTCCAGGTAGAAGAGCGGCTACTTCCAGCTGGGCACTCCTGCCAGCACCCCCAGCCAGGCGTGGACAGGTGACTAGGCTGTCCTGTGACCTGTGAGCAGAAGTGCTGTGTCTGAGTGCAGCTTTCTGGGAGGTTTCCAGAAAGGGAGAGGTTTATGTCCTCTTCTCCACTCCATCCCACTGTGAGCAGGAGGGTGAACCAGAGGGCTTGGTCACGGATGACTCTTGAGTCCTGCGGCAGCCAGGCGGCAAGCAGCGTAGCAGCCGGCGAAGCGCGGAGCGGAAGTCACACCGGGGGAGGAAGTCACACAGTCTGGCCAGAATCCTGACTCTAGCTGATGAGGAGACAGGTCGCTAACTCCCTGTGCCTCAGCCCGTCCAGATGTAAAGTGAAAAAAGACAGTGCCTACTTTTTAGCACCGTGGTGGAATTTTTTGGGGGGTGTGGGTACTGGGAATGGAATTCAGGACCTGACGCCTGCCAGGCCGGTGCTGTACCACTGAGCTAAATCCCTAGACCCTTGTGGTGGGGTTAAATGATTAATGGAAATAAAATATGCAGAGTGGCCTTTGGTACATAGTGAGGGCCATATATGTATTGGGTATTACTATCCCCATCTCAAGCTTTCTTTTACAAGAGTAAACGGAGACACACACACACACACACCCTGCCTACACTGTCAAGACAACGGCGGCATCCACAATCCTAGGAAATGATACAGCGCCCCGTCATGGGGGTTTCCCTGCACTGCTGCACATTCCTGCCAAACTGCACAAGTGCAACTTCTGTTCCTACAACTTCTGTTCCCACGGCGGGCGCACATTGATCACCAGAGACAAGCAAACCCAGTCTGGGGCTGTCCATATGAATGAAAGCATGTGGAATGAAAGGCCTAAACAGCTTTGTCTAAAATACACCTGTCACACTTAAAAAGCAAGAAAAGTTGAACAGCAATAAACTAACAGCTTGTAACGGGAGTATTTTCTTTGCAAGTATTCATCCCATCATACTTGAACAGCAAGTTCTAATGTATTTCAAGACTGACATCTAACCTTAAACTCAAACCTTCAAGAGACCAGCATGGTAGCTCAGCAGGAGGGCTGATCTCGCAGGAGCGAGGCCCTATGTTTGATTTCCAGCAACAATTAAAAAAAAATTTAAAACTTTAAGACAGATAACTAAGATAAAACATCCTTTTCCGTGGAGTTTTAAAGAAACAACAGGAGCCAAAGACTAAGCAGTCAAAAAATATAATACTCTGTTTAATGAAGAGAAGGTATTGTCTCTCTTTTGGAAAAGATCATCAGAGAAAATGCAAATCCTTCTTTCATAGTCTAGCAAGTAAATCCCTCCTACCTGTTACAGCAAGGAGTGCACCAAAAATTTTAATCAATGCCAGAACGAAAGAAATTCCAAAGTACCCAGTGAGGGAAAAAAAGAATGCATAACCGTAGGTCCGAATCGGATTCTGTAACAAGTAAGAACGCTTGTTAGATGAATTCAAAACAAACCCTGAGGTATTATAAATGAAATAAAATCACAGATTTTAATCAACTTCTTGAGCAATAATAAGCCATTTGACAATGCAGTCAAAGAAAACTATTTAGTTTTGATTAAATGGAAAAATAATGAAATTAAAAATCCTCCAGTTCTATATATATTATGAACCACTTAAAATTAACTTATAGGGTAGATCAAGGATAAAATAAATTAAAATACTAATCATTTCATTTCTGAAATAACTTCTGATCTGCAATATTACATTTGAGGAGTTATCAAATTATATCAACAATAGCCTTTTTTGAACCAGGGGAATTAGAAACAGAGAAAACTATTTAATGGAAGACATTTATTGAAAAAAATGTGTTTAACATTTACCTTTGAACAAAATGTCACTGCGGGGCCTAATCCACTAGTGCATGTCAATCCCAATAAAATGTACACAAAACCGATTGAGTAAGAGTACAAAACCTGGAGTAGATAAAATGTACAAGACTACTATCAAATCAGAAGTGGGAAATTGAGGGCTTTAAATACATAGTTTAGTAATCTACTCAATTGCACTCACACAAGAAAACAGTTTTATAGTAACAACATCATTTCTATATGGCCTCACTTTTTGGAAATGATGGTTGATTTTAATAGTTCAAAAGGTGATTTCTTATTTTATATACCAAATAATAGCAATTCAGATTTTACATATATGCTTACATAATTATTCACTTCTTGTGTGGCTTAATTACTGAATTTAAACTAGATTTTATTGTCAGCATTTCAAAAATGTGTACCAGCAAAAGAAAACCCTTATAAACTACTTATAAAACTGTAAATTTTAAGTCTGAAAAAGATATTAACCTGTAATGAAAGTGAGAAGTCCATGGCATATCTATGGCTTCATTTCCCTACTTCCCTGCCAACCTTTGGGACCTGGTTTATTACAAGGCTCATAAACATTATCAGCAGCAACAACGGCAGCACCTAACTTAGTACCTGCTGGGCGGCAGGCTGGGCGGCAGGCTGGGCTGCCACTCCACACAGATTACTCCATTAATTTCTAACAACCAACCTATGAGGTAACTGCTCTTAATTCAGTGTTCATTAATCAATCTTCAAATGAAACTAAAACACAGAGCGGAGAGCAGTGACCTAGGATATGAGCCGGGCTGTCTTTTCTAAAGCCTGCCATCTTAAGCACCACATTACATTCACCTTCTGACCACACGCCATTCTTTCTGAGGCCATCCTCACCTGCTGTGGAACAGGAGTGTGTAGGTCAAGAAAACCCCTATAGGATTAACGTCACTAGGATTTTACTTCGGATACCTCACCATGTGCTGAGAGAGGAGCAGGGAAGAATGTGCCTACGTGTCCTTAGTGCCATGCCCATCAAGGAGCTGGTTACACAACTAATGTAGGCATACACACAGCACTGTATAGAGAATAGATGCTGTTTACAGCAACAACAGAAAAAAGAAGGAACCCCAACAACTTTAGTAAGAAGTATACTGGATTTACATGAAAAAATCCTTTAATTTCTAACAAACATCAAAAAGAAAAACACTTGAATAAAAGCAAAAGTCATACCTTATTCTTGGGCTGAAAGAATCAACTGTATATATGCCATTCTCCCTAAGTTAATTTATAATTCAGTGCCATACCAATCACAATACCAATGGGATTTCTAGAGTATTTGGGAGTATGAGCACCCAAGAATAACTACTGGTAGTAATATTCTGAAAAAGAAAAGGAACAGTGGTGGCTAGTGCTAACAGATGGCAAATGTGTGTTCAAACTGCTGCTGCTGTATGTACTGGTTCAAAAAAGAATTTGAAAGAATTCAATTCTGAACCTTATAGTAGGATGTTATATAATGAAGAAGGCATTTAAAATAAGCTGGAGAAGCAGATTATTCAACAAATGTTTTTGGGACAAATGGATGGCCATATGGAAGACAGTTTTCTTCTTTTGCCTTAATTTTGGGCAGTAGGCATGGGTGGAATCTGTAAAACCTTAAGACGTGGTAAAGACCTTTATAGCCATGATACATAGCCAGAAGCTATGAAGGAAAAGATGAAATGGACAGTATTAAAATTATAAACCTCTATAGGGAAAATGCAAATATAAGAAATGATGTAACAAAGACTTCTTATAGAGAAACTATAAATTGATGAGAAAATGGATCAAATAGCTAGAAAGTTATTGGGAAAGGAAGTGGTCGTTTTTCCTTTTACCTTCCCACAACATTTGAATGTATGACTTTAATGAGAATAATGATAACACTAGTTTAAAAACACAATGCAAGTCATAGTTTCAGAAAATTAGGCACGCCACCAGGTTTTCGTCTGCCTGATATGAAGAGAAGGCGCGAGAGTACTTACCATTTCAGAATTGGAAGCGTTATGCAGTTTCATAGCTTTCTCTTGCACATTTCCAATGACAGCGTCTGCACACAGGGCCAGCGAGATGAGCATCACACCTTCAAGAAGGCAGAGAAATGGTGTCCTTATCTCAGCCTCTGGGCTACAATCAAGCTCCATGAGACGTTTAAATGGTCTCCACTCTCTTTCTTCTGTATAAACCATATTCATAATGCACACTCTTTATGCTTTCTAAGCTGTTTTGCTTAGTTACACCTGAAACTTAGGAACTCAGAAACAAAGGAGCATACATTCCTTTTATATTGAATGAGTTCCCCTCGAGTTTTAGATATTTCATCTCAACACATAATTCAATAGCAACTTTATTATATGACAAACAAACCATTTCAATTAACTTAGGTTTTACAGAAACAATTCTCTTTTATAATAGTGTTCGAGCAGTATGACAATATTGTTATCACATAATTGTAACAGCTACAATCTGTCACAAGAGCACCAGTCTTTCCTGTGAAACACATAGTATGCCGTGTGTCTGAGGACAGGCGATTCTAGTAACTAAGCATTCAGATCACCGGGCATAGCACTTCACAGAAAAGGCAGACCACCTGTGAGTCTGATGGGTTTACAGAAATCTCCTTTTTCTTAAAGTATAAGTGATCACACAGAGCAAAAAGAAGTGTATGTCCACATATGTATGCCCCTTGGTCAACTAAGAATTTTGAAGATTATTCTTAAATTTTATTCTTTTAAATCTACGTTTGGTATTTATTGCCTAATCATATATGTTTTATTCACCAAACTTGATTATGAATGCTTTTTTCCTAGTTTCAAGTAATAAATCTATCTTCAAAAGAAGAAGCTGTGAATTTTGAAGCTCCTCAAAGGAATATCCTAACTGCTGAAAGACAGTTCAAAAATATTCCTAAAGGATTCTTAGCAATTAAACAACACAGAAGCTCGGAAATTGTATCCTAAGAAGAATATTTTAAAGGGAACATTTATTTGAGTAAGTGTAGACATATAGTTTACAGATTCATATTTTTGTCTTTAATCACTACTTTAATATCATCTCTCGTTTAGATAATACAGTAGACAAGAAGAGCGTACGGGTAGGTGCTTATCTATTATCCTTCACAATTAAGTAAGGCTGGACTCACCCTAAAAATATGCCCGCGGGACTCGGAGCAGCGGGCACCTGTGCGGTGAGAAGTGTAGACCCCTGGGACCCTCTCCTCCTGCTGCCACCCCTACTGCGATGGGACTTCCCACCGCTACTTTCCACCTCACTCTCTCCCCCGTGACTGCATGCGAGGCACCTTCTAACCAGTGTCTGCTTCACTGGCAAAGTATAACGAGGCCTGCCAATTTCCTCATTGTTACACTGCAAAGAAATTCAGACCATTTGAATTCTCATCTCTTCTTGCAAATTCAGTGCCTTATCTCACTGCTCTTTCAGTAAGCCAATTCCCTGTGGTTTCAAGTATTCTTTAGAGTCCAACATGTGAGAATGAAGCGTTCCTAAAAAGCCTAGACAGTGTTAGAACTGCTGAAAGTACAGTGTAAGTTTTCTCTGAAATCAAGCTGTGAGCGCAAGCACTCTAGTTTAAGGAGTGGGAGAGCATACTCGGTTCCTGTGGATACTGAAGGGCTGATTACAGGAGGCAGAATTGCCTACAGGTAAATTCAGTAACTCAGCTAGGTTAACCAGGTAAGTAAGGAAGACTCACTGACAACTGATAAGATATGTATCTTGGGTAGAACAGTGAAGCAGATATAAATTGAATTTTTTCATTATCTAATGGTTTGGGTTTTTTTCTTAAAATAATAATGCTGTGCATTTTCTGGTATTACATTATTATTACTATTATGTTTTCCCAGAAAGTCTTTGAAGATCTAGATACTTCTAATACTATTTCTGTCAGATTAGGAGACTGGATGACACTAATGTAATCTTTCTGGTAAAATTCAATCATTTAAGAAGGATAACAATGTACATATAATATATAATATACGAAGGTATTCACAATGTTTCAAAACATTTCAAAAAATGAAATTAAAAACAATTATTACTGTGATTCCCTTATGACCCATGTTTACACTTCCAATACAACTCATGAAAAATTAATCTAGGGGCCAAGGATATAGTTCAGTGGCATAGTGCCTGCCTGGAAAGCGGGAGGTCCTGAGTTCGATTCCCAGCAACAAACAACAAAGAAAAAGATCAATAGATCATTAACTTGGTAAAGATTTTGACTAGACAGGCTCCTGTTACATCAAAATACAAAGGAATTAAAAAAATGTTCTATTTCAAGTTGTGGTGTTTTTAACAGAACCAATATATCAACTCTGAACACCTTTTAGATATGAGAGTCATAGATACTGTTACGGCTTGAGTCTGGATGTTCCCCCAAAGCCTCATGCAGTCAGGGAGGTGGGCTTCGAGAGTCTGTGAATGATTCATGGTCCAGTGCTGGGACTATGAGTACAGTGCTACACCCAAGCGAGCATGGAATATATAAGGAACAGAAAGAATATAAGGACAGAAAGAGTCTCTTTCCGTGCTCCTCCCTTTTGCTGTCTTCCACCACCATGAACTGCTGTTCCTCTGCCATGCCTCCCTGACTTACAGCTGGCTGATTATGGACTGAAACCTCAACAACTCTGAGCTGAATAAATCTTTCCTTTCTTAACTTTGGATGTCAGGTATTTTGTCTCAGCAACAAGAGAAAAGTAACCAAGACAGATACCATACCATCATTTCAAAGCCTTATGAAATTTTAGAAAATCTTACTCTAAATTAAAATGTGTATAATAGAATCTAGGAAGATAAGTGACTTGCTTACCTGTCAGGTTGAAGTTTGGTACAACTGTGCTGTCAGCAAGAGTGAACCAGATCAGGCCCAGGCTCATACATAATGCAGCAGACACGTCTACCATATTGTACCGCTTTCCTGTAAGAGACGAAGGTACGCTCTGCTTCATTACGCCAACAATGAAGTCTGGGGTTAGGTCTATGTGTTTATCCAAGCAATCAGGGATCTGATTTTTATATCTTATGCCAAAAATATAAACAACACTTAGATCAAGGCATGGGATAGTTACAGAGCAGCTTCTGAAGAATAAAATCTAAAATGAGCACCAATATACCTTTATAAACTAGAAGTGCAATCATATTTCATCTGTTTTGTGAATGAAACATGTACAGTCACGCATCACCTAACAATAAGGACGTATTTGGAGAAACATGTCTTTAGGTGTCTTTGTTGTTGTGCAAAAACCACAGAGAATACTTACACAGAGTAAGAGCTATGATGTTATTAGGAGACACTATTTACAGGATCACTGTCCTGCATGTAGTCCACCACTGACCAAAACATTATGCAGTACATGATTGAGTTTTGGTAGAAACTGACAAGAATCACACATATCCACAAACATTTAAAAATTCTGTAGCAATAGTGCCATTTTTATTTAATGGTTAACAAAATGGCTATGAATTTTCTGATAGTGAGTTTACAAAGGAACTAGAGAATGACTTTGCCTATATAAATACTGTTTAACTATTATACACCATAAACAAGGCATAAGGAAGTTATTTTATTGTATCTGTATATTAAAAACTAAAATGTAGTGTTGCTGTTTGTGAGGAAATATACGTATGCACATTTGGGTTCTAAATGTGATTTTTAGTAGGGACTGAGGTGAGACTGTTTCTTCTATGTGAAGCATTATCCTGAAATGATATGTGAAGTTACTGACATACACGCTTTCCTTTTAGTAAGTTCTTGGGGAAGATTTCTAATGCACAAAATGAAGTCAGGCTGCATGAGAACTTTAGTGACACAGAAACACTTGATTACGGAAACACTACACTGCTCAAGGCAGGCAACGTGAAGAAAAAAATGACTTCTTTCACTGCCTGTTGCTGATTACTTCCTCCTTTCCTCGTATTTCCACACAGATGATAGCTGGGCTGGAGCACTAAGATATAAATAAGCCAGCACGGTTAGTTAAAGGAAAAAAAAAAGCAAGCAGTTCTGCTCAGAGGAAGCTGTATCTTAATACAAAAACTACACACTGAGCACTGGAGGGAGAGTGCAGCCCTGAAGGACAGAGTAAAAGAACCGGGCAGAGAAACTCTGCAGAGACTTCGGAGCTGGGGCTTCAGTATGCCAACACTGAACTGGTGGGAATGTGTTAAACTCTACATAAAATAACACATTATTTTCTTCTTTCACTCCAAGTCCAAATTATTGATCCCGAGGACCATCAGGTAAGTATCAGCAGTTTACTATACCTTCTAGTATTAATAGAGTTGTTACAATGCCTAGAAAGCGTACTAAAAATATTATAGTGATTCGTCTTTTTCCTAATGCTAGATGCCATGAAAGTTTCAAGTAGTATGGAAATATATCATTACTATACCTTGGATAAAAACTCCTCCTACCATAACAGGAATCAGTTTGCAGCACTTGAAGATGACTTGGGTAGGGTAATTCAGGTAGCCCAAGGAAGTGTTTGAGAGCCCCATAGTACCCACAGTTAGAAAAGCTATTATCATGTAGGTTTTTCCTGGTATTCTGTAAAAGACAATTTTTAAGATCTTCATTTTGGGACCTGATTCATAATGCTTTAAGATAGTGTGTTTACAACTTGTAAATGTCGAATTCCTTTTCTAATTTCTACTTTCTATTTCTGGAAATATCTGTAGAAGCATCATTATCTCTTACAGCTGCAGCACTGTTCAAAAGAATGTTGATAAAAATCACAATTAACCTTTATTTGATCAATCATAAAAGAGGTCTCTCAACTATGTGAAAATATATTGAGAGTTCCTGAGATTTTTACTGAAGGTATGCATGCTGATGCAAGAATAGCAGTTCCAGCTGTAGATAAAAATCATCGCAACTAAATTTAGGAAAAAGAGATTATGTTTTGAAGTAATAGTAAAAAGCTCCTTATCGCTAACTTTTTAAATTAATTTTAAACTTTTGTTTCCTAATATTTCCATCTAGCATCAGGAAGTATTTTTATCCATTCTACTAGAATAATCTAAACAGGACTTTTCCAGAAAAAGTGCAGACTTTAAAGCTTAAGATATGATTTTTATTGCAATCATTTTACAAATCACTTCTCTGTATTCCATATAATGCTATAATAATCAACCTAATGATGACGTATCTGTCTTTTGCCTCATAATCTCAAATCTTTTAACTCTGGTTTTATCTGAATTTCATTAAGAAGATTTCTTCATTTGGCAGCTTTAGTATTTTGAGCCATAGTGTGAGCATCTGCTCATTTTGATTGGTATATAATGGCCTAAAACACCATGAGACATTGTTCACATAATTTGTTTATGCTACTGAGTACTTTTATATAATTTCCATTTGGGATTTGTAATTGTGTTTAAGGTAACATAATTCCTTGGTATATTTTACACAGATATAAGGTAAGATAATCTACTGGAAAAATGCAATTCAAGGCATCATTTATATTTCAGTGTTGAGTACCTTTTACTTAGTACACAGTCAACATCAAAAACCCACTGGAAATAACTTGTCCTGCCTGTCTGCAGCAACAGTGCACACGAACAAGAAGAACCACAGCACACATCATAATCAAGGAGAAACTGCGAATAGCAGTGGCCAGAAAATAAAAATTCAAATCCACAGAATTATAAGAAATCATTAGAAAAGCAGCACAGTACAGGTAGAAAGAAAATGAGGCTGAAACTCAGGGGACCTAAATTCAAAAGATTCCATCTGAGAGCAACTTTCTGTGTGATCTCATAAACCCTCAGCACCACTCCCTTAGGTCTTTGTTTTTCTTGATAAAAAGAGAAAGCTGGATTTTTTCAGCTTGCCTCCAGGATTCTCATTGTTTCTCTTATTTAATACCTCATCTGTTCATTACTTTTTTCAGAATGGGGGAGAAATTATAATTTAAAAACTCCTTCAAAGCCATTTTGATGAATCTCCTTTATTAAAAAATTAATCGAATGCACAAGGCAATACCTAGTGAAAAAGTATGATCAGGTTATTAAAGTTTACATACAATACGCTTCACACATATAAACACAGTGAGACTCAATATGACTGAGAAAGTCAAAACATTTCTGGAGGTCTTTACAGGCCTATTAAGAAACACACCAAAACCAAAATTCATTGTTTTCCACTTTGAAATCCTGTTTGCTCTCCACTGCATTGCTACCTATTTAAATTTATGAAGAGACGGGGCACTATACAAAGAGCTAAATAAAAGTCTAAAGAGCAAAAAAAGAAACTCAAGATAGGGCGAATTTTCATAACAAATTTTTAAGATGGCTTAGAAAGAATAGGTTTTGATTCATAATTATATTTATTTTAAATCTGTAAATTTTCCCCAATTTTTTCACTTACGCTTAAACTGAACAATTGTTTTGGTTTTGAATATACTATGGGCATATGTGGATCGTATGTTGGGATACGATCCCACTCCCTAAGTTGTCTGAGGAGCGGAGATGGAGGGGTTTTTCTCTAAGAAGCAACCAGCAATACATCAACGCCTGACAAAGACAGCATTAGTGTTCTTAATAGCAATCAGAACCCAGCAGTTTGCAACTGGTGATGAATCAGAAAGCTTTCTTTTATTCTTGACAGATATACGACTTTTTATTCTATCATCCATGGGTGTAACTTACAGTTTTGAAGTAGAAAATAAAATTCTCAATTTAAACATTTTCTCTATAATGGCTATAATAACGTTTTGGTAACAAAATTAGATCCATGAAGAAACATGTGTCATGGTTCCTTATTCCAGGAAGAATCCTGTGTCATAAATTTGAATAATTAAAATTGTAGAATACTTCAATTCATACTTCAAAACCATTTCATGTAGAAAAGTAAGACTCTGCAAGAAATTATTTTTAAGGATGAAATAGTTATATAAAAGACAGAATGTCTTTCTTGTATTTTAATTGCTCAATATGCATGAAGCGATCCCCAATACTGTGGGACCCATGTGGCAGACATTTTTCCATGGGGACAAGGAAGGGTGGGACAGAAGAGGTTGGGGATGATTCCAAAGAGCACACAACCTAAATTCCTCAAAAGCCAAGCGCAGCTCACACAGGGGACGGGAGTCTTTGCCCGCCCCTCACTTCTCACCCCTGCTTCCTAACAGGGGCTCCCGCACTAGGCTATGCTATGACAGGATGACCTTACTTGTCGTATTTACCCCCCAAAAGTTCAAATTCCTAATCCCTTTCTGTTTATAAGCAAATACTATGCCATAACAATATATCAAGACATTTTGCAGATCTGGTTGCTTGTTAATTTAGGAGATATCCTCAAATGGAACAGTTTTGGTTTTAATAACAATAATTGAAATGTGTTTCTCGAATGCTTACAAATGCAGATCTCGGCTACTGGACATCTCCTGACAATGTTAGCTGGATAAATTCCATGAATCATTACCTTCACACTTTAAAAACCATCATAAGAAAAAGATACTGATTATTTTACTCTGATGTCAGTTGCACTGTAAGTCTTTCAACAGCCACACTTACTTCAGTGAACTTTATAAAAACCTACCAGCATCTGAACACTTCCTCATGTTTTAAGAACATATACTGGACCATACATTTAGCCTTTTTTAAAAAAACATTAGAGACCTAACTTAGAGACCATAGAGACCTTTTTTCAGTGTACATTTAAATATTTATAATTATTGTTAAATTATACTCAAGGAGGTTCTGATTAGATGTGTCAGGAAATATAAATTTTATGCATATCCAGAATGGTGAAAACTTTAAAACATGCAACTAATACTAAAATATTTTCAACTAACAAAGACCAAGTGACATACCTTCTCCTTTTGTCCTGAGTAAGCTGAAATTCTATTAGGCCAAATATGGAGTAAAATGCAAACTGCATCAAAGTCAGGTACCAGCCATAAGGCTTAAACCCCTCCATTGAAAATATTAATTCCTGGCAAAAGACAACCAAGTTGTTAAGTTCAAGGGGGCAGACCAACTTTCTCACCGTAAATTCTTACACACACAATATTCTAAAAGGAACCAAGCCACATCAATACCAGCACCAACACCAATCAGCTTACAAGGCTTCTTACAGGTACATTTACAGGGATAGAGGCCTTTCTCAAAGAACTGACACTAGATACCCAGGTTAAAAATCAACACAAAATTACTGTAAAGCAGCACTACCTATGTTTCCTTGTTTAAAAAATAAAGATTTGCCCAAAACAAAGGTGGCTGATTCAAAATGTCTTATAAACAGCGTATTTTACTAGAAGTAAATGTCCATCTCATGCCTATTTTTTTTTTGGAGCAACATGGTCAGTTCATATCAGTAATGTTATTTTTTCAAAATCTTGTACCATAGATTATATAAAACGTTTCCTTATATAGGGAATGGTTAATTTATCTAAAATAATATTTTATTAAGTAATGTCCCTATCAATTACTGATAAGTCATTTTAAGCAAGTCATTAAAAGGTTTCTAATAGTCATCTGGACTAATCTTAACTGAATAAAATAAAACAAACTTTTTACCTTGCGTGTGTGTTAGCATGTGTATGTCACTTACACTACCAAACCCCACCCATGTTCTTTGAACTATCTTCCTATGCAATTACATCTAAGAATAGCAATGTCCATTTTTACATAGTAAAACTGATAAGGCTACAAACAGTAGTTGGAACAATTTATCCAACTTAAAATAAAACTTCACACATTCTAGTTCTAGAGTAAAATAGCTAATCAAACAAAAAATTTATTATACCTAATTAAATTTAGGGGTTCTATTTTTAATTTATTTTTCTCTTCTACCTTTACTGAACAGAAAAAATGTTGCTCAACAAGAAATACCAATCTCTACATCTAACTGTCATTCAGTGTGTATCTTTCACCTTGCCTCCCGAGTGCTAGGATTACAGGTGTGTGCCACCATGCCCAGCTTGCAATGTTAAATAATTAAACATTCATTTTTATTAATTTGGCAAGATCATCTCTCCATGGTCTTATTCTCCACTAAAAATTTAACTCCAAAATTTTGATCTTTTAAGTTAACTTAAAGAAATCTTCTCTATTAATATACAAAAACTCCAATTTATGAACACTGGTATCTTGTAATAAGTGCCTACAGTAGCATTAAATGCTATCAATAATTAACACATTACAAACAACAGCTATTTTTTTTACCTGTAAATATCCATAAATTAGGTAAAATACAAAAACGCCAGCAACGCATATGAAAAACTGAGTAAGTTTGTTAAATTTGCTCAGATTTATGCCAAGCACTACAATGTCATCAACTGACTTGATGTGGGGTGACATTGTTTGGGTTTTGGGCGGCATGCTGATAGAGATGTATTTCCTGGAGTTGTTGAACTTGAGATCCATTGTTCTTATTTTGCTGCATTCAGTTCTTCCACAGTTAGCTTTATTGGTTTCCTCTTTTTCATTCAGTCTTTCTTCTGCTTGCTGTGCCACGTTCTAAAGAAGGAAATAAGCAATTAAAATGTTTAGATTCTAAAGTATTATGCTCTAAATAATGTTTACTTTAAACTCATGCAGATAAAACATTGTATCTGTATATTAATATATTATTTCAGCTTCCAAACTGCAAAAATAACTACTTTCCAATTTACTTTTACCCAATAAAGACAGTAACTTGATTATGTATGTATTTCCATAGCAACAATCTAAAAGCTAATCTAGTATTCATTTCATCAAACTAAGCATGACACATTTTTATATCTAGTAAATATGTAATTTTAAAAGCTCACAATAGTTTATGTATTAAAGTCAATCATGTACAGAGTAAGGACTGTGATGTTCCATTAAACACCAAAACAACTGTAAAATACATTTGCTTGTGATGTTAAAGTCACACAGCTGTTAAGTTTTATGAACTAGATTTTTTAGAGCTAGAGAAAGAACAGTATGCTTTAGTATCACTTACGTTACAAGAAAACTTTCCTCCCCTTTGGAAAAAATCATTTTAATTTTAAAAGTCTCTGGGGAGTAAAAGACTAGAAAATGTGTCATCTTTTGTTAGTCTCTAGAAAGAAATTATTCTGAAAAAAACTATGAAGGCCCATGTATGTCTCAATTTCTCTTTGGACTTATAAAAAATTGAAAAATGAATTTCACAAATTCTTTAGCAAAACCTAAAGAATTATAACAATTAAAGAACAGAACACACTTATGAAGAAAAATTATTTTCCTAGAAAAGACTCATTATTACAATTCCAATGAGAACAAAAATTTAGACACTGAGGGCTGAAGTCATAAGAATAGTGCTGAAAGCATCCCTTTAGAAATCTTTCAAAAGAATTGTCACAGGATGGTAAAAAGGTAGGAATTATGGTTGTCATTTCTAATATGCTGATTTATAGAGATTAACTAGGCCATAGTCAGCAACTTAAATGAGGGGTAAGCCCCTGAATACAACCTGTAACTAACAAGACTCAGGTACAAAACATTTGTTTTTCATAAGCCCTTTCATATTTCTAAAGAAAAATGTACAAAAACTAAAACAAAAGTCTGGCTGTTTCTTTTGTTTTATTCTTTTCCTTTGTTCTTGCTTCCCACACTCTATTTCAATCAGTTACCTCAAAGACCTTTTACACCATCTTGTAGATAATCACTTTCTTTACAAATTATGCTTTATCATCTCTAAGCACTTGATCAAAAAATGAATGTTGAAGGAACAAAACACTTAACAATTTTCTGTGCATAAGCACCATTTAAATAAACCCAGCAGCACACTCGTTTGTAAGCTTCTTTTCTCCAAGTTCTATTTTGGAAAGATAGCACAAACTTTCAAACATCCTTGCTTTTGGTTCATGATGTCCTTTCAACCTCATGTCTTCTGCCCTGGGTCAGACTGTGAAGTTAAACTTTAATGTCCCTTCCTTTTTAACACTGTCCCTAACTTCCCCAGCTGGGAGAAGACAGCACTTGAAAAGTAAGACTGAAATCTTACTTGTCTAGTTAAAAAAAATTAACTGTGCCCTCTTCAGTAACTCAAAAGAGGGGTCAAGGTTCTGAGTACGACTTGGAACTAACAATGCTCAGGGATCACAACATTTGTGCCTTTTACCTGTCAAATACCCTGCACCCAATAATCAATGAATCAAATAAACTGAAACTTCCTCTGGGTATTTTAAAACTTCTGCTGTCATCACTCAGAGGCTTGGATGTGATTTCTGAAATGGACCATGGTATTGGCATAGATTATGGGTATAATGGCAAATCTTGCAGAATACAGAGATAGGGAGAAAAGTGTACATAATGATTATGTATTTACATACATGTATAGAATAAAACTAGGAAATCTCTTTTCTGCCTTTATTGGCATTAGAACATTTCTCCAGAAAGCAACCCTTTCACAAAGTCACTTTTTTCTGTGAGGTTTGCAGTTCAGCAAAACACAAAGCATATTTTAATGATTCATTACAATTATGGCTAATACAAGAAGGTAGTATGATGTGGTTCTTTCTTCATGCTTTGAAATTTAGATCTGAACTCAAGGTCAGGTTTTGCTACGTAAGAGTGAAGGTGTCTTGCAGGAAATTATTTAACTTTTCTGAGCTTTAGGTTCTGTATTTCAAATAGAAAGGAGTTTTAAAAATGTTTTTTGTTGGGGCTATGAGAAATAAATGTAGAAGTGCCTAATATATACCAGGACAGCCTATATATTGTTATTATCATTCAAGTTTTTAGAAATATCCCTGGTCTGGTCTGGTGTGCGGAAAATGATACATTCCTCTGACATGTAGCTGGAAATATGGACCTGGATTTCGAAGCCAGATTTCTCCGAATGCTACTCTGATATCCCCATGAAGCTTCTCTAGCACCTCATATTAAAAATGTCCAAACATGGACATACTGTTTTCCTCCTCTCTCTCTTCTACCCATCTTTCACCCTGCTCCATATGAAATCTAATTATGCTGCACCCTTAAGATTGTGTGTTAAAAATTAACGTCCTAGATTCTCAAAGTACATTATATGTATTTTAATAGATATCTACACTGTAATAGAATATTTTTTTGTTCTGTACTTTTTCTACAAATACATGAATTGCATAAGGCAAGAGACAATTCTCCTTCAAATGATCTAGCATAAAACAAAAATGTAAGCAATTAAATGAAGGACTCCTTTGTACTCTAGTATTTTTACTGCCAACTATATTGCATTTCCAATTACACTGTATTTCAAACCACAAGTGGATAGCAGGAAGATACTTAACAGAAAGAACTAGGTGAGGGACTGAAATTGTATGGTGATATATATTATGCTATTCAGTTATCAAAATTTACAAAACATAACAGAATATTTTAATGAGGAGCAAATATTTTCTAAAAATGGGCATGATTACGCAACACAAGAAATATAATAAAGTCAACAAAAATAAAATTTTGTTCATTTGTTTGTTTTACTGGAAGAACTGAGTATAGAATATTTCTAAATTATTCTCCCTTATATGGTCTCTCTTCCAAATGCTAGTTTGAGGATAAAGAATAGCTGTAGCGTTTTAAAACAACAACAAAAACCCAAAATACAACAACAACAAAACACCCAAAATAACACACACCATTTCATCAACATTATTCTGTTCCTTCCCACCATTTAACATCCTTACTCCTGATAATCACACGAGCTGTAGAAATAGGCCACACATGGAACTGACCACTCCAGCACTATCCTTTTGAAACATGTGCAAAAATATCAACATCTCTTCTGAATATCCCACAAAGCATCTGAAATGAACAGGGAAAAAAATTCACTTCCATTGCTTCCCTGAAGCATGAGTACCACAAAACTTGTCATTTAAAGCCCTGCTTTTAGAATGCAGTTTTGTATTACTAATCAGCAAGTGTGACTGATGAAACCTCTGATACTGAGAAACTGATCTCTCATGTCTGCTATCTATCATTTCAACACTGAAGGCTGATGTTATCATTGAGAGAAACAGCCAAAGTACTTACGGTGCAGGGGAGAATCAAATATGGATTTAAAAACAGTTAACAGGTTGCTATCCTATGAAGTTCACTCTAATTTCTGAAACTAAAATAGAAATAATCCACAGCTATGAACCACTGCTTGAGGCCTCTTCCTAAATACTAGCATTTAACTTTGGTTCCTCGAGGTTCAAATAATAGCTAAAAGGGAATTACAGACAGAATTTGCAGCACATCCTGAACATTTAAACATTTTAGTGATAATACTGACTTACAATGACCTACTGAAGTAAATTGATTTCACTTTCTCAGTCTAGTCTTTTTCAACCTACACAACTCCTACAACGGTACACTGAAGAACGGTACACTGAAGAAAAACCGGAAAAACATGATTCCACTCATATTCTGACACATTCAATATTACAAATGGAAAGATCTCATTAATTCTGCCTTGAATAAAGGCACTTGGGCTATTAATCATGGTCTATGGCATATGATTATCAAACAGAAAAACAAAATACTTCTCTTTTTTGGTACATATTTTGTTATACAAAGTTCAGGAAACTGCAAATTTAAGTTTCTTTTTTCCCCGCAAAGGAGAAAGTTAAAATTTAGGGCTCAATCTTACTGAGTTATTAACGCCGTCCAAATTATTTTCAAATAGTGAATGTATCTCTTTCAATTCCCAAACTGTCTCAATTCACTGAAAAGAGTTTAAATTTCCAGAGGTTTGATAACCCACGGTAAAAAGAATGTAGATGCACAGCATCTAAAAAAAATTCTGTTGCACACCGAATCATTCCCTCTTCCAACAGTCTTTCAAAAGCAAAAAAGGGGTGAAGGAGAGGATTCAATTGCAAAGACTGGAGGAACCTGCAGAACTCTTGCTGACATAAATTTACCAGTTCGGGGAGAACAGTCACTTCCAGGGCAAGATCAACAGACTGGACATCTGAGTACCACGGAGTACCCTAAGTGAACCCAGAACCCGGAAGTGGCTCTTATCCAGGAGTTATCAGTTCGACACAACTGCGAGGACAACCTAAATGACCCCTGAACGTGGCCTTGTCCAGTGACTCCACAAATGAGGCCCTGAAGGCAATCTCTTCAGGCCATGAGGTTAAAGGGAGGAAAAGGAACAGTGCTTTACCCCGCATATCGGGCTGGGCGGTTTCTGTTCCTTAAGGAAGGAAGTCACCCGCTCCTGTCATCCTGGTCTCAAAGGTTCCCCGACTGCTCGTTCTGGACGAAAGTGACGGACAGCGTCTAGCATTTCTCAATCCCAAACATTGGAAGGGTGCAGGGGGCACGCCCACCCCCAAGTCCGTGTGTCTCCTGGAAGGGTGACTCTAACTCGGGTGGCACCTCTAGCGTTCCCCCTCCCCAGGTTTCTCGCCATCACCTCCTCTTTTTCTGCCTCTTCCTTCTCTGTTACTCCTGCACTTTCCACAGCCACAGTCGCTTCGCCCGAAGGTGCTCGTTTTGCCGGCGCCGGCGCGCCACTTCCGCTTATGTGTCCTGAGGCGCGTGCGCAGGCGCGCGGCCCCGCCTCCTATGCGTCCCGGGGGCTATGCCAGCGCGCACAGCGTTACCTTCTGCGCATGCTCCATACGCTCTAGGAAGTGAGACGCGCGCTATCGTGGTGGACTGAGATCTGCTGTGGTCGTTCTTTACGTCGGCCTACGGAAAACCGATCAGTGCTCCTGGTGTGCCTGACTTTCGTACTGGCCTACTGCCCCGGGTACTTGGAAGAGAGGCGACTTCCACGTCGGTGGCTGTTGGCTATGATTTGAAAAGGCGGCCGCGTGGAGAATGTTGGACCCGATTTAAAAGTCCCTCTATGCCCACTTTGATCCAAATTGATGAGGCGATGCCCTAGTCCCTTTTTCTGCTTACACATTCTTTCTCAGCCCAACCTGCTTTTCCAGGTGGACCAAAGTGACACTTGGATTGCTTTTGAAGTTGAAATTCAGTGTAGTTACAGCTACAGTGGACCTTGGAACATCTCAGAAATGTTACCAACATAGTTCTGCTGATGTCGTTTGTTGTTTGGATCATGAAACCTAAAGCCAGCTGGCTGACGATCAGTTTAACCTGCTTAACTGAATGAGGACACAGAGGGCAACATCGCCAGTCGCGAGACACAAAGAAGTAAAATCCAAGATAGAATAGGTGTTGAGTGTTACCAAAGCAAAAGATTACCATAGTGAAGATGGATGAATGTGAAGTGTGTTTTGAATGCCTGCTTTGGAATCCAAGAAAGAGATGTGCTGGATTAATACAGATGGAAGATTCCATCCAGTGATGTACAGCTTTAAATTTCACAGACATCATACAGAAGAGCAGCATTTGTGGAGTAGGGTGTTGAGTGTGAGGGTTCATACAGAAGGAAGGCAGATAACGCCAACATTGGTGTTGAGAAAAAGTATCTGGTTAGTCATTGGCATTTAATACTTACTGATTTTGTTAGGCCAGTGCTATTAGCATGTTGTGAATGTTGAAATTACACAGAACTTATATTTCCTTAAGAGACAGTGACAGCCTTTCAATGATGCCTATGGAATGATGTGGATCTAACACTCCTATCAGCTCTTTATTGTTTATCAAGCCTTTGTTAAGTGGTCGTTTGTTCAGGTCCTATTCATATTCCATAAATTGGAGTTGTGAAGCCCCTACCCTGAAGAAGTTACAGGTTGCACCTGATTAGGTAAATGGTAGTATAAAACAACTTATAGTACAAGATATGTTATAAAATACCATCCACTCCTGATTTGTGATCACAATAGCTTTCAAACAGGGCTTTCTACTTTTCTTGTTTCTTTATAATATAGCTCCACTGAAAACCTAGAGTGAACCATTTAGAATTTGTGACAGCTATGTTATTCCTCTTCTCAGAACTCTTTAATAAGTTATCATTTCCCCCCAAATCCAAACATTTAACGTGGCTTATAACTTGTTTTTGAGGAGTCAAATCCAAGCTGGTCTTCAGAACCTACTTATCTTACTCTCTCCAAGCACATCAAATACGAATGGATTTTATCTCCTGTTCCCTCTGCATGGAACACTGTCCTGCTGCAGATGGCCATGAGACTTCCTAAATCTCTTCCAGTCACTGATTATATATCATCTGACAATGTCATCAACAAAATGATTCGACATATCAAGCAAATGACATGTAAAATGTGTGAGGTAGTGTCTATGCTAGAGTAGATGTTTAGTAAATAGAGACTCTCATTCATTACTGTTTACTTTTGTAATAACTTTATGGTACAAAATTAAGGACTTCACAACCATGATTTGGTTTTAAATTTCTAACAGATTAACAATCCTGTTATATGTGAAGATTTTGGTGTCCCAGCTCACATTTTCAGAGGATCACTTACAATTTTTTACTCACACAGTTTCATATAAGCTTCCATGCATTTCATCCTAACATCTATTGTCTTGACATTACTAGACCTCTGCTTTCTGTTCAAAGGATCTTCTGACTTTGGAGATGCACTCAGAAGCTTCCTCAGTTCATGTACAACTAGAGAGTGTCATTTAACACATTTGGGGCCCTTCAACCAAGGGGCAATGGTAGCTGTTGGTTAAATGGTCCAGTTTTGTACCCTTTAGTAAAACAGTTACATATGTTATTGTGTGTGCATCTCAGAAGACCCAGTTAAACTGAATTCTAGTTGTCCACGGTAACTTCAATAACACACTTTTACTGTCTGTATTCTTCTCCCTGTCACATCATTGCTTACTAGGATTACCTCCCAAATACATTGTCTTTGCACAAGTAGTTAACAGTCATCTTCTCCTCTTCCACCATCCATTTCAGATTAATTTCATCCTTCCACTATGACAGCTGATTATTTGTCTTAGTAGATTGGAGCACAACATGTGCACCTTCAGAAACTTTGCTCTTGTTAAGCCATTCATTCACCATTTGTACGGGGCTTGGAAACACAAAAAGGCACTCCAATGGCTCCTCTAGGCTGCAGAGACATACTGTGTATCTTCTTTTTTGCCTTTTATGGGAGAAAACATTCATAATACTAACATTTTATGCAGCAAGTCTCCATAATAATCTGAGTCTCCATTGCCTGCAAGGCACCTACATAGCCAAGCTGTAGTTTTAACTTTCACTTCTATAGCTCCTCCTTTATTTCCTGGTAGAAGAATAGTTCTTCCAAGGAGACCAGAACCCCTAATTTGGCAGATAAATGGGAAGCACAAATTATGCCCTTGAATTACTCAGAGGCATTGTGAAAAGGGCCAATGCCATTTCCACTTCTTAGTTCCCAGCTCATGAATTCTAATTATGAAAGGACACAAGATGATACCTATCATCAATTGGTTCTATGATAAGTATCTCAGACAGTGGAACACCAGCCCTGTCAGGGTGTTTGTTCCTGAGCAAGGAATCGTGGTGTTGTTAATTGAATCATGCCATCCTTAAGGCCAGTTGCCTCCAGACAATATAACACACGTGAGTTATGGTACAGTGGGCCAAATAGAAAGCATCTCTCCACCCTGGTAAAAGGCAAGAAATCAAACACATTGCACTTAGGAGGACTTTCAGGGATTGAACTACCAGCTAAGGTTTTTTTTTGTTTTGTTTTGTTTTTTAAACTAGAGATTGAACCAAGGATCTTTACACTGAGCTACATCCCTAGATCTGAAACCTTCTCATTATTTTTTTTACACATGATCTTGCTAAATGTCTAAGTTGTCCAGGCTGGATATGAATTTGAGATCCACTGCTTTAGCCTCCCCGGTGCCTGGTATATATGTGTGCCACCACACCTGTCTGGCAGAGGCTTTTAAAATGTAGAAATGGTGACCTCTGTTACATCCCCATTTAATTAATTAGTTTGGGGTCTTATATAGATGCATTTTGTGGGTAACTGTAAGCTTAGCCAAGTAGTAATTTCAGTCATAGCCGCTATAAAGATGAGAAATTTTTACTAGAATAAAAACAGGCTCTCACAGGCCACCGTGATTTTTGAGTTGGGAAATGTTCCATTATGTACCAGTTAAGTGGTACAAGAGTAGCTAGCTCCTTTATGAAATTGACTGGAATATAAATACACTTCCCCCTCCTGGCATTAGATTAACTTTTCTGCTCTCTGTTATGATTTCTTCCTACAGGAACTTCAATTATCACGAAGTGTTGAAGATCACCTGGCTATTAATCTATAATCATGATGTGCCAACTGGATCTAGCAAAAAAGGAGGTAAGTATTGTACTAGATACTAGGAAGATACATGTGTGGCAAAGGGTGGAGGCGAAACCTGTAATGATTTAGTCTTCCCAATTTGGGGGCATCTAATTTTGGGATGGCCTGTGTCATCTATACTGAACTTGACTTCTCCGTTAGTAAGACTTTGAGATAAGGACTAGTGTGCGGGTAGTTTGTCTGGAAGATCAGGAAGCAGAAGGTAGATTAAAAGGAGATGAACAGAGAGAGCAGAAAGGCAATATCAGAACTTATTATTAGGGAGGCTGTTTCACAGAATTGGGTACAATTCTACCAGGACTGAAAGCCCAAAGGATGAGATTCCTGGGAAGAGTAATAATTTTTCTTAAAGAACTGACATATGTCTTGATACGAATTTTTCCTGTTTACAGAAATCTGCCAGAAAAACTATGAGATAGACTTACAAACAGGACCAGAGATCCTGGTCATGTGCCCATTCTTCTGCTTCATATCGTAAAGTGTCTTCTTCACTCAGTGACACTGTGTCTGAAAATCATGTGTTTGTTTTTAACAGTTTCAGAAAGATGCCGGGAAAGGTAGAGGTGGGTCAAATGGAATTTCGATTTTTAGTGTCTTGAGGAATCTCAATACTGATTTCCGTAGTGATTGTGCTAGTTTATATTACCACCAACAATGAAGAAAGGTTCTTTTCTCCCCATAACCTTAGTAAAATTGTAATTGTTTGATTCTTTTCTGATAGCTATTTTTACCTGAGTAAGGTGGAATCTCAGTGTTGTTTTGATGCATCTCTTCAATGGCCAAAGATGAACATTTTTTTCATGTACCTCTTGGTCATGTGTTCTTCTTTTGAGAAGTGTCTATTCATCGCAGTTGCCCATTTTTTTAAATATAGTCTGCATTTTAGATGTAAAATGTGATGTTTTTATACATATGCAACAGTAGTGAAATTATTATTGTAGTTAAGCAAATTAGCATATCCATCATCACATACTGAAGTTTTTTTTCTTATATTTGCATTTTGAGAGTTCTTTGTATATTCTAGATGCTGGTCCTTGTATCAGAAATGCAATTCATGAGTATTTTTCTACATGTTGACACTTGTTTTTATCATCCCCTTCATCGTATCTTGAAGAGTAGAAGTTTTACATTTTGATGTGTCATAATTATTTTTTAGTAAATTATACTTTTATGTCATGTCTGATTTATTTGTGGTTGATTTAGTGTCGCAAAGATTTTTCCTGTTTTCTTTCATTTTCTAGTTTTAGGTTCTATATCTAGGTCTATGATTCATTTTGGGTTTTTTCTTTTTTGCCTGTGTT